TTCTTGTTAAGAGGGTCGTACAAACTTTTTACTTTCATAGCCTTTTTTTTTCTAGAAGCCTTAATTTCGTAGCGATCCTTGGGATAGGCATTCGGCCGAAACCAGAAACGTAAACGTAAGCCCGGGTTTAATCACAAGGGACGTCCCCTGGTAAAGTACCAGGGCGTATATCATCGGCCGATGTAAATATGTAAACCTAATAAAGAGAAGAGCCGACCACGTCAAATATTTCAATCAGAATTTCCACGCCGACCCCTATAACTCGCCAAATTGGTAACGCAAATATATGGGGGATCTTTGGTTTGCGGTAACATTCACCCATACCCCCTCATCAAGCATTAACTAAAAATATACATTAAAAATTAATTTAGGAGGGTCGAATTGAAATATTGATATATCCGTTTTGCATAAAATAGACTATTGTACAGAGCAAACTCGGCGTTAGGCAACCAACATTCCACGAATGGCACTGTCAACTAAAAATTCCTAAACCTTAGCGCCATCAATATTAATGATTCGTCTACAATGAACAATGACACACCTTTGGGTCTACTCTCGGGATAGTGCGCCGCTGATTGGTTGAATAAAACGTCGTGAAAGGTTACACCAATCACAAGCCGATGGAACAGAATTTCACTAAAATCTAATTGCAACGCGAGTAAACGTAATGTCTTAAACAAAATTATTGGTCCTGTGGCTTGTAATCATATATGAATAGAAGGCTCTGTACCAAGAAGAGATGCTAATAACCTGTAACAAGATCAAATATACCTTTTTAGTAGTGACGTCACCTACGCCAAATAATAGGCAACCACAATAGTGCGCATTGTGAAGAATTTCCCAATATTTTTACTAGATCGATTTTCGACCTTATGTACTTTGGATATAAGTGCCAAAAAAATAGCTTCTTTGTCATGACCTTAAGTATCGCGATATTCTGGCAATATTAGAAATATTTAAGAAGTTTCAAACCCCAAGTGACAAACTAAAGGAATTATGGAATTTATATATTTAAATTTATAGAATAATGCTGACTTTTATAGTAATTCGTATATTAAAATTATATCAGTGTTGCTGAGCATGCGCATTAAAGATAATTTCATGTAAGCGAAATAGCCTTGCAACAGATCATTCAAGAAAAGTTTGGGTTTCTATTTTTCACAGCCTACCAAATTTTGTTCATATTATTTTTAAGCAACGTTATTTTCTGGAATATCTCGTAATTTTTTTTTCAGAAAATTCTTCACAAAGAATTGGATTATGGTTGTAGAATCCAGTGGCTTTTTGAATAAAAAAATTATAAATGTAATTATTTTTGTCTAAGAAGGTAATATTTGTAAGTTTTGGCATAATAACCACGAAATAATAATTTGACGAACTTGTTGTTTATTTTATGTATACTGGTTTTTATGATTCTTATTAATAATTATTAAAACCAGTGTTTCTTATTTAATTTTGTTTCCCTTTGGGTCCTATTCGGTTTTTATAAAAGAATAGGTTCACCGACAACGGCAAACACTGGTGATGTCGATATTGTCATAACTTTTTTAGGGGCAAACTTTTTTTTCGCAAAAATTGGTATAAATGCATTTGAGGGCTTCCTAAATCCAGTGGTGTAGTCAGATTTTTTATAAAATAATCGCTAACAAAATTTTGCTATTTTTCACTTTTTCACGTAGTAGGCCTTGAAAATCAAAATTTCGTCTTCAAATTTTGCATCAAGATAGAGCTTTTGATCTATCTTTAAAAAAAAAACGGTTAAAATCGGTCCATAAACAACTTCTGTACGCGAGTGTTTCTATTCTTAATGGGTCACCTTGTATGTTTATTGCAAATTTGTAGTTGTTTGTCAGACTAGGTTACTTTTTATATTTGTTAACAGATATTTTATATCACTGTTTATGCACTAGTGATTTTTTTAAAGAAAAAACGTGTTTATTTTTTGTTGAATGGAAAAAATGCTCTATTACATGTCTAATAATAAAAGTTTCTCACTAACAATCCTGTGTTCTAATTATTTCTATCCTTGGTAAAATATGGGTTAAATAAAATAAAGCCATTGTTTTAGCACTTCCAATTAGTTCCGGATAGTAATATTCTAAAAACATTAAATATACGGAGTGTTCCAACCAGGAAAACCAAGATTTGGCGGTTCGACAATAAATTTTCAGTACCCTGTGTAAAATTAAACTGTTTTCAATTGCGAAGTAACTGTAATAAATAATAGGCATCCCCCTATTTTGAAGAGCACCCCCGAAAGCCAAAATTTTTAAAATTAAAGTGGAAGTACCTAGTCTCTGAAATATTCCAATGGGCCGTGACTGTAAAATAACCATATTTAAGATGCCTACATTTTTAAAATTTTTTAAGTCGACTTTTAGATTTAAGCTGTACAGAGTGTTACAAAAAAGTAGGTTAACCACAGATGGGTGAAAATAATGGGATTTTTCCTAAGACATTTTTTATTTAGGCGACTTTAGGCAAGTTAGAGGGTGTCAAACAATTTAAAAAATATTTTTACTAATAACCCCGTTGTTTTTTGAGATATTCATTTGAAATTTTACACAGGCAAAATTTTTATTCGGGGCTTGGTTTATAGTTTGGACAAATCACAATGTATTTCTTTTAATTTCCTTATTAAGGCTTGATAGTTGCAGAAATTGTGTTTTTTTTACAGATTGACTAATTTCAACAATGTTTTAGTTAGTTACTTTATTATATCTCTTAATTTATTTAATCGTGTTTGAAAAAAATGATGAACTACTCAATATAAAGGCTTTAAGTTGACTATATTAGAACTCAAAAAACAAAACACACCAAAATTAATATTAAAAAGTCATACTTACCAGATGTATGAAAAAATAAAAATACGAATTAGAAGTTATCAAATTTGGTATATGGGTATTTTGATGGGTGTTGAATAGCCTGGTAACATTATCTTTTTGATAAAAAAATGCCTAATATCACTTTCTGGAAAAACGAACCTTTTAAAAAATCGTAGTAGGCCTGGCTTTTGTTACATCAATAAAATGATTAGTAGAATATAACCTCCCTTCAGGGCACTATTTGTAAAAAAATTGGCTTGCGGAAAGTCCACAGCCTTCTCACATTTCCAGAGGTGTAAACCTGAAAAACGGGACACACTGTATGTGAAATATGTTTTTTTTTTCGACAATTCCAATCTAAACTCGCCTTTCCCTACTATTAAATTTAAATTAAAGTGTAATAAATGTATTATAACGACAATTAAATTAAAATATAATTAAAAATCAGTGTTCTACTAAAAGCACCTTCTTTTAAGGCGATCATATTTTTCAGAACGAACCTAATTAGTTCAATGCTTGGTTAAAAATAGAATCGAAATAATCAAACAAGTTATAATAAAATATTTACAGTATAGTATAAAAATAGAAAAGTTAAGAAATCATAATAATATAAGAAAGTGGAAATTCTACTACATAGTTAAAAGAAACTACTCTTTAGGGGCGCCTATCTTAGTAACCGCCTCCACAGAGCCTAGCTCGAGAACAACAAGAGCAGGTCGAAAGAAGTGCAACGCATGTTTTGTAACTAGACGAACCCAAAAATCCGTGGTAATTTAAACTGATACATAAAAGTCACATTACTAAGTAATTATCCGAAAAGTTTACACCAAAGAATAACTTAGATATTGAAGTTGGTCGAACTTACTTTAATTTCAATAGTTTTAAAAGTCAGTTCACGTTACTTGGGAGAGCGTTTACCACAAAAAACTGCTAACTAATAATCCAAAATTAGTAGTAGGTACCTTCACAAGATTACCTGCTGGACACCAATTATATTAGTACCGTTTAGTGATGAATTTTATTGATTTTTTTTTAATTTTCCATAAAATTTCTATTGCGCTAATCCAATTTTTTCAAAACATCCGCAAATCAGCGTATCTCTCGCGCGCCTTCCTGAACTCGAGCCTGTGTGACGCTACCCGGACTATTTCGCCCGGAAAACTGCAGAACTCCGGGCGCGAAGTGAGTTACCGGCATTCTTACCAACTCCGGAGGCGCACGCGCTCCGATTTGTTCGCGGGGCACATGTATATCATTATGACATATAGTTCATTTAAATATTATGCTCTGCCGGACGGTCGCTAGGCCTCCGGGGGGTAGTTTTTCTTCGTTTTTCCTTTCGGCTGATTGCCTATGACGTGCGTGGCGACTCTTAATGAATTTATTAGGACGCAGGGGGGGCCTTACTGAGACCGAGGTCCTATATGTCAAGTCTGAGTCTGAGTCAACGATGTTATTTTTATAGATATGTACTTATTCCCTTCTAAATTTGTAACAAATGTAGGCCAGAATAGAATAGAATATTTTATAAAGTTTAACTGAGCGGTATAATATGCACGTTTTTTAAGCTGTTGGTAGAATTGGTTCCAGGTAACTATATAATATACAGACTGAATAAAAACAAACCCATTTAGATCAAGTTGCCTTGGAATAATTTTGCTTCATTTTAAATTTTTCAGTCCACAATAAAAATTCACCTCCAGACATACCTACTGCATATCAAAAACCATATTTAAGTAATTTTAAAAAGAATATCAAGTTCCACTTGATGCAGAATGTTTCAATAATTTTTCATTTTTAATATTATTATGTTATGATATAGAAAGACATCCCAAATAAAAAAATCCTGCCTTGCAACTAGTTAGAGTGGTAATAAAGTGGTATTACCACTATTACCTACTAATATATTGTTAAAATTTCACTGGATCCTGGATTTCCTATATGTTGTATGAAATAATAAAAAAATATCCGAGTGACAGATTGTCCACCAAAGAATTTTCCCGGTCTTGAAATTTTGAAATTCTGATTCAAAGAATATGTTGCCTTTCAAAGGTAAGTAGTGTACATATACCAAAAACAAGCTAAAGTTTCAAAAACTATATAAACAATTGTACTGTAGTACTTAAGTTACTTTTTAAAGAATCTTGGAAAAATAAACTTTATAAAAGGACTTACCTTACTTTGAATACCACTAAACACAACACAATAAGTACAATAAGCACATAATAAACAATAAGGAACTGTTTCAATATTATGTAAAACGTTTAAAAAGGAGTAATAAATAATGAAACAAAACTTCTCAACCGACGCCGTGAAAATAAACAATACCACTACACACCATGATACAACCATACAGAGATATGATATTGCGCATGCACGGCGCCATCTTGGCTACCTTGCTGACGTCATGTGGTAAGTCAAAAAGTAAACAAACGGATCGTGGCCATATTCTTATAGTGTTGTGTGCGTTTTTCCAAGTTTTTTTATTGTTCCTGCCTGTATTTCTAATTTAATTCGTTGTGTGAGCTTGTGCTTCATTGAGCAGAAAAAGGAAATTAAAGAAAATTGTTAAATAGAAGTTCAATCACCTAAATATCTGCACAAAAACTTTTGCGCTTGGGTACTGAATTGTTAATTTTTACGAAAGCCTACCCGATGATAACAAATAATAATGTTTAAAATAAGTAATACTGTTTTTATTTAGTTTTGTATTTATATTTTTACCTCATTACTAAAATTAAGGGCTACATTGTTTAAATTTTTGTTTTATACTTTATGTAAGAAATCGAATGCCTTTTTATAAATAAAAATCACTTTAAAAAAAAATTTGTATTTGCTTTTTATCTCTGTCACAAAGGAATAATTTTGGAATCACGAAGTGGCGTATCTGACTTTGAACATAAGTAATAATCTATGCAAATATTACATAATATGTCAAAATACATTAAAACTAAAAAAATTTATGTTTAATTTAATAATAAATGAAATAATATAGTTTTGAAAACGGACGTCTCTTTCGTTTTTACGCCGCTCTGTTGTAAAATTATAAAAATGCTAATTACGGTAGTTCGTGTTTTTAGGGACAAATTGTGTGTATAGTTTTAAAGCTTCGTTTTTTAATTTACACTTGTTAAATAAATGCTGTAATTATGTATTATTTAAATATTTGTGATTTAAGGCAAAACATGTTTACAAATTTTAATTAGCCGTATTTTCCATGCTCATACGTGTGAATAATTGAACAATATGGGCGTTTACTAGCCACATGACGTCATGCGCAGAGTCGAACGAAAATGAGACCTCTTAGTATCATATCTTATAAGTTTATTGTATCATGACTACACACAACCCACACAACACACTACACTGACGCCATCTATTATTTAGTTGGCAATTCTGACTCACAGTTTAATAGCACAGTAATGGCTCTCGCTAGCTGTTTGAAATCGTCATATATTTAGTTAGTATCTTTACTTTAGTGATCTCAATTATTATTACAAAAATATTTTACACATTAACGCTTTTATATATTAATTTTATAATATTACAAAAATTACTGCGACCCTTTGACGACGCAGTCTAATATTTTAAAAATTTATGTGCGCCATCTGGTGGTTGCATTTCGAAGTAGAAAATTAGTAAACAAAAGTTGTGTTCAAATTTTTAAGGGATGGGGTTTTTGCAGGTTAATTGTTAATTGTTATTGTTGAATCAAGAAAAGTGGCAGTGTTATATCGAGTATTTTTTATGTGATTTCGGAACGAAACGAAGTGTTTAATGTGCTAGTGCCGGTTTCAGTAGTTTCCAAGACAATTTTTTTATTTTAGAGGATTTGTTTGTGGTTGACTAAGTGGGATTTTTTGTAATGGCGGATACAAAACTTGAAAATCTGTAGGAACTCGAGAAACCGACTGAACTTATTATTTACATTTAAAAGTACTCAACACTTATTAAACATTAAACAGTACAAGTTTAATGTTGCAACTATAAAAAAAATCTATAAGTAAAGGAAATAAGACAAAAATACAAAACTGTTACTATGAAAGGCAAACCGTCCCATCTCATCAATTTGAGTACTAAATTATTACCTATTAAGTAAGTTTGTTGGTCCTAGAATTTGCAATAACTGGGGATAAAATTGTATGCAGTTTTGTCATACACATGCAGAGCTAGGATTCTGACACTGTATTTTTTTAATTGTTGATCACTGAATGTTTCTCTTTTAAATATATGGTCACAACTGGTTTAGAAAAAGACAACAACAGGGTATATTGAAAGCTTTATTTTGTATTATTTTTGATACACAGGTTATATAGGTATTTATTTCACATTGATTTAAAATAATAGAGGTGGAGAATGCCTTTCGCCACCCCAATCCTCTTATGTGGACAGGAAAAACCACTAACCTGTCCCTCATAATAATAGACCACCACTAGCTCGAGGATCAAGGCGGCGGACGGCCGAAGTTTTAACGACAAAGCTAATAAACACTAACTAGTAATATCATAATCCTGCGTTCCTTTTTTTATACAAATATTTCTCGTAACGATAACTTACAATAAAGCGATGGTAACATACAAAAATAACAGCTATAACAGAAAAGAAACAAATAATTTAGCATAAATATCTCTAAGTAGTTATTGTAAGTTACAGTTACTGTCTCTCTCTAAATAAGTACTGTACCTAGAGGAAGGACGATTGGAATCCGGCGCATATTTATGCATTTCTTTGTAACTAGTAAGCAAAACCTTATGTTTCGAACCGTCCTTCGTAAATTTTATACAAATATAAGAGCAAAAATATTACAAACGGCATATTTAAAATAACATTCAATTCGTCTAAGAGTAAAGTGATTTTAAAGTTCCATGAAAATAGCGAATTTCAAATATAAATGGCAGGAGGTGCTCTATGGACTTTTTGGAACAAAAAGAACCTGTAGGCTAAGCCCGACATTTTTTTCGAAAAATATCTTTATTTTTTTGAGCCGTAAAACGGTGGAACTCATAAAAACAACAAGCATATACTTTGAATCAGCGTCAAGCGCGTTGGAGCAGTCGTGGTTGAGTATAAAAATGTCATGTTTGGAATTGTCACGAAGATTGGGATATGTCGATTGGTTTTGATTCTTATTGCTTGCTTTCCTTTTCCAGTTCCTTGAGGAGCTGTTTCATTTCCTCGGATAGTTGGTGTTGGTCCGCTATTTTTCTGTAACAAAAGTTCGGTCGTTAGAAAAGGGAACCTACACTTAAGAGACGGTAATTCAAGTGTACCTTTCAGAGCCGCCCTCTTCTTTATCTGCCTCCTCGCCTTCAGCTGAAAATAACAGAGGGAGAATAAAAACGAGTACCTCTCAATTATTTATCTATACATGCTTAAACACTAACTAGTGCACCTCAAAAAGTAATCCAATCTGGAATAGAAGGAATCAAACAAAAATAAATGCTCCGCTATAAAAAAATTGAGAAACGAAATAAAGTCTGAATGTGGGGTATTATGCTGTACAATTTAAGTAGTGAGGAAGAATGATGTGATGAACATAGAAAGTACAAAAAAACATTCCAGTACACAACCCATAAGGTCTAAGTTTATATACAAACGAATGATTAAACATGGTATATAAGGCGCGTTCCAAATTCACAATTGAAAAATGCTCGGAAATTGTGTATATTTTTGAGATATACAGGGTGTTCCAATTAAAACTTCCCACATGGAAAATATCGGAATTAAAAAAAAACACGTCGATTTTCTTTTTAATGGGGACACATGATGGCGTAAGTTTACCCTTAAATTTTAAATGGCACCCTATGTTGTGTGATGCCTTATTTAATAGCTTTTTCAATTCTGCTCACGATGACATACGACTTTTTAAATTATAGTTTACATATGACAATAAAATCACCACTTAAGGAGGTATATCGGGGTCCGAGTGAAGTGAGGAGCGCAGGAGGGGTCCTATGCTTTTCTTATGGGACTAAAGCCCGCTGCCAATTTGAAAAAAATAAATTCTATTGAAATTATTTGCGATAAACATTATCTATATAGACGTGTCTCAGGTTTTTTGTTTTTTTTTTAATTCCGATATTTTGCAGATGGTAAGTTTTAATTGGAACACCCTGTATGTTGCCAAATTATTTAAATATCCCAGCATGTGTCTAAGGAACACCCTGTATACAACACAGCCGTGATACATTTATCGGCATTGAGATAATTTTTATACAACCACAAACACAGTGCTGTGAAGCTACTTTGATGTTAAGCGAATAAATATATCACTGATGAAACAAAAAATACAGTGTCTGGTGTTTTTCTTTTATTTTTTGGTTTCATATCACGACAAAAATTACGCTGAAAATTTTATTACAAATTATTAACTATGCAATTACTTTGTGGTAAAAAAAACATCGAGACACTTTGTACTTGACACAACACGAGTTAAAGTTATTAAACACGTACAAGATACAGATACACAAAAGAGAAGGGTAGGTGTAAATGTGTACAGGGGGTGTGTAACATAGAAAAGAATGCCTATCTACCATGTTTGGGTAAATTAAAGCGCCAATCGTGTTCTCTAGGATCCACTTCAGTCTGGTCCTCGACGCTGATCTCGTAACGAAGCGGCCTTCTGCGGGTGGCTATATCAAAGAAAACCATAAAAAAATACTAGCGGTTCAGTTACTGAAATTCTGGGTGCCTCAGGGTTCCCACCAGAGGCTAAGATACGTTACAAGTTTTTCTAAGTGGGAAACCCGGTTATTCAAGAAAAAAACTTAAACACCTCCGTGTAACATTGAAAATCTCACATAAACATTAAGTAAACTGAAGAAGCTACTACTGTATTCAGTTATTTACTCGCGCAGGCTCAGAAAGTATAAAACTAAATTCAGAAATGAATTACACAGCCTTCGTAAATGATTTCAAACCACGTGACCAGTAATTTCGTTTCCCTCTCAATAAGACCACAACTACGTTAAAACAAAACATTATGTTTTACCAACTAATTTTTCACATTTCATTCAGCCAATCTGTTATCATATGATGAAGGCTCTGTAGTTATCAGCAGGAAAATCAAACGGTCTCTACAAACGTTTATATTTTCTGAGCATGCGCAATATTAGACATCTACATTTGTATGAAATACCAAAAGTAAAAGAATTCCGTTTACTGCTTACCTCTGACTGGAGGTGGTTCCCGAACGACAGAGGTAGTGGCTTCTTCTCCTATAAAACATAAATGAAATATTAATCCCTGACCAAACTTCAGTTGTAAATTATAAAGTCTTGAAAAATGTACTTACCAGAAGAGACATGCAAACTGAACACCATGCAAAATAAAAATAAACTTACCAAAAGTAAAACTGTGGTGATTTGTACTAAAGAAATGAAGTAACTAAAAATAAACAGGGACGGAAATTAGTTCTGGGTTAAGAGAAGTGACAAACCTGGTGCGGTTCTTGTTAGTGTTGTTAGTTGAGTTGGGGGGATATCGAATTGCTGGGTCATGGTTGTCTTGCTTCCTTGGTCGTCGGTGATGGTTCTAGTTATCACCCCTAGACCTTCCGTAACGGTTCTGGTCATTACACCTTGTTGGTGCATAAGTTCCGGTTGGTTTAGCTGTTTGAAGTATTCCTCTATTTGTCTCTCGGAGGTGGGTTCCTCTCCCCCTCCAGTTCCGTCGCTTTTTACAATGAATCTTCTTTGAACGACTTTTCTGACGTGCACGTTGCCAGCTTCATCTACTTCTTCCGTTTCCTGCACGTCCTCGCCTTCTTTAAAGTCTTGAATAAACTGTTTCATGCGTTCTTCTGCATCAGGCCCTGTAAAGGTAACCTTTCTCATCTCATGAGGTAGTTCCACTTTTCTATGAATTGTATGAGAGTAATAATCATCGTCGCTGGGCTCGATTACTTCTGTCACATAAGGTTTCGAGGAAGCGTCTACATACTCCGTTGTTCTTCGACCTGTAAGATCTTCGTCGAACCATACCCGCTTCACAGCTGCTGCCACGTCTACAGTTGTACCCATTCGTGCTTGATCAATGGAATTAGTAGAGGAAACCATAGTGTTAGACCCTCCACTAGTGAAACTACCTGAGAAGACAGAATCGGTATCGTATTGGTATGTTGCGTGAGTTGCTGTAGAACTAGTAGCGTCTAGGCTTTCGGTACTTTCTAGCATTGGGTCTTCCTTCGCTTCTTGGTCTGCTATATCATTCTCTTTCGCCGAGGAACTGAAGTCTTTGCCTGTACTAGAACTACTTTGGTCATATCCTCCTATTCTAGAACCATCTTCATCGATGGAATCGCTTAGTGGTAGGTTATTGCCGGAACTGGTAACAGCACCTAATTCCAAGGAGTCGCTGAGTACCATAGAACTTTTTTCTTCCCCTCTGGCGTCAATGCTGTCTGTGGTTATATTTTCTCTAGTTGACTTTTGTGCTTGGAATTCTATAGAATCTGTGCTGGCGGTCATAACGTCACCACCGGTTTTTTGGTCTAAACTGTCGGTGCTGTCATGATAGCTTGGTTTTTCCGCTTGCAGATCCAAGGAATCAGTAGAAGTTATCATGACATCATCACCTTCTTTCCACTGCACTTTAATCGTGGATTTTACTATAGGAGCATCTAAGTCTAAGTCGGGGACTTTAGAGACTTCTTCGAGCGAGTCACCCCTGCCCAGTGATTCCGTTTTTTCCATCTCTTTCAAATCAACGAACCTCTCGACATTAGATTGGGCTTGCCTAATGATTTCGTCTATTTCAAACATTCTTTTTTCATAATCCTCATCGTCATCCGTATCAGTGACTAGCTTTTTCTCCGTTCCAGACATTGTTCCGCAGCTTTCAGATTCAGAGGCGATACTTTCCTGTCCTTCATCGATTTGTACAAGCATCTCTTCCTCTTCCTTTACTTTAACTTCGATTTTGTGAGCAGCAATACACGCTTTTTCTAGACCTTCGAATTCTTTCAGAGAACTAGCAGAGATGTCATCTCCTTGTCCGCTTTTGCTTGGGTGATACCTGGCTTTGAAACTTCCGTTGCTGGAGGAATCTTGTGAACCCTGATGGAATTTTCTCATTTCTAGTGACATGGCTTTTTCCAAGTTTTCAAATTCTTGTAAACTTGACATTGATACATCGTCGTGCTCTGCAGATCTGGTGAAGTATTTTCTTCCAGCCAACACGTCATATTCCGGTGTACTAGAGTAGGAATCCTTTAAGCTGCCTCCAGATTCTCGTTGCGATCCGTAACTGGAAGCCGCAAAATCATTTACATCTTCCTCTTTAATGTCTTCCAAAGGACCCCTCTCAAATTCCATTTCGTATCCATACCCAGCAGCCATCATAGCTGCTTGATCACCTTGGAACTGTTGCTCTATCCACTTTCTGTTTGCTTCTAACTCTCGATCGTATTCGTATCCGTAATCCTTAGTACTACTAGTTGTAACTCCAGTAGATTTCTGTTCTACTTGGGGTGGGCTGTCTTCAAAATCAAATCCTAACTCTTCACTAGAGGAAGTGCCATCTGGGTAATATTTTATGTCGGTCATTCGAGTAAGTGGAGTGGGCGCGGAATGGACTAAATATTGTTCAACTTCTTCGTCATGTTTCTTTGTTTTCTTGGCCCCCCGACTGATTCTTACACTCTTGCCTTCAGAGTCGAATTCTTGAGCTTCCTTACCGACTTCTTCGATTACCACAAAATCGTCTATGAGATCAGGCTTTTCCAGCATCTCAAAAGAATCGCTACTGGGTGAATCTGTACTTCTTTCTGAACCTTCCTTCACTGTGGTCTCGATGACTGTACCAACTTCACTTTTAGATTCCGATATCACTTTTTCCTCTGAAACAGCCTCCGGTTCCTCTGCAATTGTGGTCACAGTCTCGTCTAATACATATTCGCGGCCTTGGTCGGTCTCCTCAGAACTTTTGCTCGAGACGGATGCTGGGGTTTGAGGAGTGTCGACCCCGACTTGAACCTCTTCTTCTTCTTGCTTTTCTTTCTCTTCAAGCTCTAATTCGGGATACCTAAAGTCTCTGTCTACCAATGGCATCATGTGTTGTGTTATTTTGATATCTGGAACAAATCCTGGACTGATATCTTTGAGTTGTTGAGAACGCCTCTCTTCGTACTCCTTCTGAGCTCGTTCTCTTGTTTCGAGCTCGTGTTTCTCTGCATCCTCATCTTCTAAAATAGGACATATCTGTTTGATTTTATGAGCTGGAGATACGTGAGCCACCATGCTGAAAGCCGCTTCGGCTTCAGCTTCTTCGAAGCTCGACTTTTCGCTGGAGGTAGAACTAGATTTGCCGTGGGAGTCGCGCTTTTCTAAAGGTTCTTTTGGCAGATACGCGCTGATGATTGAATGACGGATTTCTTGTTGTATCTCTTGCGACCTCTTTACTGCAGAAGAATATTCCTGCTCAAGTTCTCCAACACTGGCTTGGGCCTCAGAACTAAATTCTGGTGTATCGTCTTTAGTTTCGTCACAAGGTTCAGGGGATACCGGGCGTTCGATAGGTTCAGTTATGTCTGTGACATCAGAAGACTTCATTAAATCGGCCAATTCCGAGTCCGGTTTGTCGTCTGAGAAAGCTGTGGAACGTTCTCGCTCAGAATCTGATTTACTGAACTGCGACTGAGGTCTGGATAGATCGATATTGTCTGGCTCGTTGTCCGATTCTGTGTCCAAGTATCGGCCTTCCCTTAGGTCTCTATGGAATCCTTGGTCAGCCTCTGTCTCATAACTTTCCTCTTTCTCGCTTTCGTCGATGTCTTTCTTTTCGTCACTACTGGTTTCTTTGAAGCTTAGTTTTGCAGTGTATTTATCGCTTTCTGCCAGATCAGACTGGATTCTGCGTTCCACTTCGGTTCTTGCTTGACTCGTAATACCCATAATCGGGCCCATAAAGCTGGTGCTTTCTGTTCTCCTGTGTCCCTTCTTCTTTGGTTCTTCGGGTTTTATTGCAAATGGAGCAACGAATTCTTCTACGGGAGACTGAGTCTCAGAAGTAACTTGGGTGCTCACGCTTTGTATGCCGTTTTCGTCCACGGTGGACGTAGTTATCGTAACTGATTCTATAGGGAAGTCCGTATGTATTTGGGGAGTAGATGTAGCCATGTCCGATGTGACGTGCGGCGTATATATTAAACTTTCACGACTACCACGTGGCATATTTTCCACATCGTCGAGACTGAGATGTTCCGATGTGCCAGAAACCGTCATGCTCCCTTCCAACCTTTCGGAATCGGCTCGCGATAGTTCTATGACTGTTCTTTGTGCTCCTGTGCTAGAGGTGCTAGATACGCTTACGCTAAGAACACTGCCTTCGTCTAGACTAGTGCCCAACCGCTCTTCTGAGTCTCCCTGGGGTGATTCGGGCACTAGGACTTTAGGTTCCGGTTGGAAAGTCATCTCCTGAGATCTTTTCATTCTAGATTGCATATCAGTGACTTTTACGTCTGCCGACTCTTCTTCAGACACATCGATAGATCCTCCTACAGTATAGGAGAGTAGTTCCGAGTCGCTCACTTCGGTGCTTTGTCTTATCGGTACTCCCTGAGTGCTCCAGCCTGAAGAGGGTTCCACCTCGCCGAGAATGTGCTGATCTACCGAGTCTATCATGTCTTCTAAATCGCTGGTCGATGGAACTAGGGTTTCGGAGTGTTCAGATACTTCAACGCTGGCTAAATGTCCTGAGCTTTCGCTATCTAAGCTCTTCATACTTTCTTTAGAACTCAAGCTGCTAACAGCAGTCTGATATTCGGTCGAAGTAACATGAGATCTCGACGAATGGTCTTGTGATGTCAAAGCGCTCTCATACTCCGAAGATCCCGCAGCTATTAGTCCCTCTACATCAGAGGAACAGGGCCTACTTTTTCCACTATCCATTTCAAAGCTGTGGTAATGGCTTTCTCCCGAGCTAGAGTAGGCTTCAAAGTCAATTCCCGACTTTCTATCAAGTTTCAAATTGGAACTGCTGCTGCTAGTATCAGCATCAGATTTAGTTTTCCTAAAAATTACTTTGTCTTTTTGCAAATCAGTTTCTTCCCGCTTTCCGGATGATGCCGTCGAAAATTGGTCCTCTGGAGATTTCGGGTCTGTGCTAGACTTTGACTCGCTGCTAGAAGTTCTCTTGACCACTTCATGAGTTGTTATGATCACTTCCCCTTTTTCCGGTCTGATTTCATCGACTTCATCTATTTGTAACTTGCCGCTAGCTACAAGTTCATTCAAATCTTGCACGCTTTGAATCAATGTACTGGACACTGAAGTAGTTTCTTCGTGGATGTGGTCTATCTTTGTCACTGCATTACTGACAACTGTATGCTTTTTGTCTATGGCAAGTTTTGTTTCCACCTCTGACCCGTCATCTTCTTTTTTGTATTGAGTCATTTCTTCCCTGCTGACATACTCTAGTTTTTTACTTAGTTCATCGTATGATTTCTCGGTTTTAACTTCTGATTCTTTCTGTATGTCGTCACTAACCTCACTAGATTTCACAGTCTCTTGATATTTAGCTGATATTACAGAAGTATCTTCGTCAGACGCTTTGGTTGATAGCTTTTCTTGTAACAAATCTTTTCCTCTCACCTCTGTTTTATCCGTTACTGTTTTAGATGCTTGAATGATGTCTGCTTCTACCGTACCTAGTTTACTTTCTGTTACTTCTCTATCCTCCGATTTTGTTTGGGATATTTCTTTAACATCTGTATCTACGTGAGTTGCTAATCTTTCTGATTCCTCCGTTAGAGACTCAGATATCGTTTCATCATCCTCGAAAACGACTTCTTTTACTTCACTTACAGATTTCTCACCTTTGACAGCGTCACTTGATTTTATCTCCAAATCTTTCTTCATGCTTGTGAGTTTGGGACCTTCATAACTTACAAAATCTTGCGAAGTAACTGATTCCTCACGATGTTCTTCATCTATCCGATCGACAAATCCAGATTTATCTTGGAATCTTTTGGCTTGCTCATGATCGTAATGATCATAGTCCAAATGTACGTCGTCTATCTTCTCAGCTTCAAGTTGATCCATTTGTTGCTCTAATATATGAGAGTAGTCCATTTCAGTTCCGCTAAACTTTAGATCCTCATCTGTTATTTCCATACTAGATGCTTGGGTGTCTCCTCTGGTCAGTTTAGCTAAGCCTCGCTGTCGGCGGGCTAGCACTGATTCGACGAGTTCCACTTCTCTATCATCCAGACCTTTAGTTTCTGCTAGATGTTTGAGGAATTCTGATACTTGGACATTTTCCAACTGCTGCACGGGTCTATCTATAGTTTCAGTCAGTGATTCACGTGCTTGAATTTCTGCCTCAATCTCTTCTATCAAGGCGCTGGCAATCCTCTTGGCTTCTTCCGGATGTACCCGTTGCTGATGGAGACTGTCCAGTATAATTTTTTCAATGTCGCTATGGCTTTCTGATTTAATCTTATCTGATTCACAGGAGTCTGAGTGGTCTTGATGTATTTCTGATCCCAGGTCGGATTCATCGCGGATACTACTGCTGAGGTCATCGTCTTTCTCGGCTTTGTCGCTCCTGAACTCCTCAGGAGTTGGTTCGTGCGGTTCAGGTTTTGTTTCCTCCGCCAGTTGTAGCTTTAACTTTGCTTCTAGTTGTCCCGACATCTCATCCTCTTGATCCATAACTTCCTTAAAGTCATCTTTCGGTAAGACGTCTAGTTCAGATTTTCGTTCTTCTCTTGCTATTTCCTCGAGGTCTTTGTCTCCGTCCATCGCTATCTTTTCAGCAATTTTCATTTCTTCTATTATGAATTTCTGTAAAATATCTGCTGACAAGTCATCGACTCTTTCAACTGCCTCAGATTTTGCTGTTTTGGATTCAACTTCGGAAATTTCGCCCTTCCTAGTACTTGCATACGTTTCAGATGAAATTTGTTCTTCTTTAATGAACTCTTTTAACACATCTTTCTCGTATGATACATGAGTGGGTTCTTTTTCGGTTTTTTGTTTACTATCGAGCTTTCCGGTGTCTATAAAATTTTCTTTAGGTGCATCTTCGCGTTCAGATATGTCGATTTTACTTTTGGTTGTTGTTTCAATTGTTTTCTTACTTACTTCCGGAGTAACGTCTTTGTAAACCGATACTGCTTTTTCGCTTTCAGTATAAATCTCTTTCTTCTCTATAGTTGTTTCTTTAAATTCTTTTATAACTTTGTCTTTGGCTATTGTTGTTTCGCTTATATAAGCCTCTTTCTTTTTTGGTATTTTAGAAAATATGTCCTCAAAATCATCCTTCTTAGATTTATCTATTTGTTGTTCAGTTGTTTTCTCAGAAACTTTGGCCTGGATATCATCTGATTTTTCTAAAGGTTTTTCGTCTACGTCTGGTACGGATTTAACTACTTGTTTTTCCTCGTCTTTTATTGCTATGGATGTACTTTTGTCTTCTTCAGATTTCTTGATCAATTCTTCTACTATTCTCTCAGCAGCTATAAATTCTTGGGTTGCTTTAACAGCAGGTTTATGTTCTAAGTCTTCAACTTTCTCATCAAATGCAGATTCTTGGCGTGATTCAGAAACCTCCCACACCGTGTCTTGAATGCTTTCTTCAGGTACCTTTATCGGTGATTCCGTTTCAGATTTTTCCATAACGGGCGATATAGGTTCTTTTGTTTCTTTTTCAGCGTATTCGTCGCTTTCTTCACTTATCCTTCTTTGTTTTCCTGATAGAGTTACGGTTATTTCTGGGATTGCCTCGTCACCAAACTGCGAGAGTTTAGGAGAAATCTCCCCATCTAGGGAATCGATTGATTTACCTTCGAAGTCTTGGTCTAACTCTGTCAACTTTTCCGTGTCTTCTATTTCGCTCTTGTCCACAAGGACTTCCATAGAATCCGGTTTAGTTGAATGACTGTCGTCTCTGAAATTTTGTTCATCCACTAAATCACCACTTTTATCCGACGAAACGCTTGGTTGAGACTCGAAGGTTTTGGGTTGAGTATCGACCTCAGTTTCTTTGTGCGCTTCTGTATGAGGTAGGGATGAAACTGAAATCTGATCCTCGAGTTTGTGCGCTGTCAAATCGAGTTTGTGCATTTCCTCGTCGAGTTCAGTCAGTTTTGTGACTTCCATAAAGTCGACTATTTCCTCTACGACCTCCTCTGCCTTCTTTTGTTCTTTGGATTCTTCTATTACCTGCTTATCTAATACAAATCCTCGCAACTCTGCCGGTGACTGACCGATTCTTTGCCCTGCGATCACGTTCCCCAATTGCTTTTCATAGCCCTTCGCTAAATCTTTGACGGAAGTTTTTTCATGTAATACATCTTCCTTTTCGTGTTTTTCTTCAAATGATTCCTCTGATGATATGCTCTTTGCTATTTTCTCGATGCTCTTCTGTTCTTCAAATGATTGTGCCATGCTTTTCACTGTGGTTACTTTCTTTTCCTTTTTAGCGGTAATTTCTTTAATATCTTTCGTTTTTGTTGGTTCAAACATTTGTGCCAATTTACTGACGCTTCTTGGTTCCTCTTCTATAATGTCCTCTTCGATATCTTCGGCAATACTCTTAGCGTCCGCGTCTGTGTGTTCTTCTTCAGTGGAACTCAACAGGGTTTTCTTCTCGGGGGATGGTTCTTCCTCTAGTTCGCTAGTGAGCTGTTCTTCGATCATCTCCTTCCTGATTTGTTCCTCGTAGTATTCCTTGCGCAGTTTTATATTTCTGGCTGACACCTCGTACATGTCTTCGGTTGGCAAGGAAGCTGACCGTTCATATATCGATTTGCGAGCAGTAGATGCAGAGGGAACGAAAACACTCATCAGCCTGTCTCTAATTTGTGGTACTCTGTCCTCTATTTCCGAGTCGGATATGTAGTGTTCTACGTCTTCACTGTCCGAAATGTAACCTGAGTTTTCTATTAACTGGCTACTTCCCTTCTGAGCCACATCTGATTCTACACTGTCTGTCTTCTGCAAGTCAAACTTTACTTCTTGTTTTTCATCTTTCTTAAGACTCGGTTTTCGGTCAGCAGGTGGTTGGAATGATGCCTGGTACTCGCTCATTATCCTTTCCTTTTCAGGCGATGCTATGCTGTCTGAAATCTTGGTAACGTCCGTTTGGGTTTGTCCGCTAGTTTCGCTTGTAGATGATTCGAATGATACGGTTCTTTCTTTAACGGATATTACTTCTATTTGTTCTTCGGATTTTATGACACTTTGTGAAGTCTGTAGTACTTGTCGCGGTTTCGTATCTTCTCTCATTTCGCTTTCCGCTTCTATGAGACTCTGAGTGGTTTGGAGGATAGTTCGAGGTTTTGGTACAGGGATGGCACTGATTTCGTGAACGGAGGTTCGTTTTTTGATCGTTTCCTTTTCGGACGTGGTGACTTCCTGCAGACTCATTCTCTTGGAGATGCTGTCTTTGGTGACGCTTTCCCAGAATTTCTTCTTATCTGAGTAGCTTTCTAGTATTTCGTATTCCTCATCCAGTAAGTCATCTCGTACCGGAGACATGGGTTTTTCCGTTTTGGTTTCGGGTGTTTTAGCGGATCGGGGTTTAGGTTGCGGTAATTGTTTAGTCTCGGCCGGTGTTAGTGGGGAAGCTGCCTCGGTTAGTAGTTCGCAGCTGATTTCTAAAAAGATGTGGTTAAATGTTAGCGGGACTAGCAGTACTGTAACAGTTAGGTAGTAAATTCCTTATTGGTAGAAAAAGCGGTTTTTTGACATACAGGCATTTGGTGGGTGGTTTGCTATCTCCAAATGTCTTAACACTTACCGTCGTAAATGAGAGGACACATCGAATGATATCTACAAAATCAAAAATGAAACAAAACCAAAAGGAACATATAAATAATAAAAGCCAAAGTTTGCTTGTGCTAGAGTGATATCTGGATGTAGAATTGTGTGTAAAAGAAACCATGCAAATAAAAGTATCAAACATATCGGGCCCCGTCACTTCGGGTCTACTAGTCATATCTAGTGCGTAGTTACCTAGCTTGGGATCCGGCGATTTTTCTATTTTTTGTTTCACAGACGAAGGAATTTCGTCAGACACAAATATATCGGGTACTACGTGCTCAGATTTACCCTGAGACTTCTCAGAGAATGCACCTGAGTTCTCTAACAAGTCATCCTCGTCAAAGATAGACATGCTTACATCCATAGTGTCAGGGATGCTTGTGGTGATACTGTGGTGGTCGATATTGTCCGTAGAGCTGAACGGGCTAGACTTCTGTAGCCAGTTCACCACAGCGTTCGTAATAGACCCCTTCAGAAGGGATTCTTCACTTCCCAATGACCTAGACATTTTCTGATCGCCACTTAGTAAAGATTCGTTGCTTAAAAATGTGTCCGGATTCATCTGCATCACTGTGTTGATCAGTGAGCACTTTAACGGGGATGATTTAAGGTCAGGTAAACTACCACGGTCGTCCTCTATAATGCGTTTGTCTTTGTAGAATCCCATCTCCGATTTAGCCCGCTTGCTTTTTTTCTTTTTAGGTTTGGGAGAGGGACAGGGGCTCTTCATTACCGGTATAACCTCTACTTCTATACCGGCTTTGTTTACTAAATTATCTTTATTTAAACTGACAGGGCCCATGTAAACAATCTCACCTGGGGGAAATAATGCCAATGAATTTATATTGCTCTGAGTTACATAGGTCCCGATATGTTTGTAAGGGAAGGGTTAGATGGGGTACGTAAAAGTTAGTTTAGATACATGCGACATTTTGTTTTTGACCTTACTACATATCGTGATAGATTGGGTCTACTTAAGTGTGTATAATGAGTTTGTGATGGGAAAGGCTCTTTAAAGCAAACATCTAACATCTACCTTGAGGGAGTTCTTGAGCGTCTGCCTGGCTCTCGGGTGTTTTCGAGTCCCACTCGTCGCTCTTCGAGAATGTGTGCTCGTCCCACAAGTGGCCGTACTCTCTCTGGAAGTCCGATATTTCTTCTGTGCTCAGTTGCGACACCAATTGACGGTACTCGCTCTCGCGCTTTTCCTCGATTTCCGGGCTCGTCATCTGTTTTTGTTTCGCCTCTTTCGTATCTTTGTCTATCAACTCGGACGCCATTCTTTCGAATTTTCGTTCGACTCGCTTTAATTTCTTTTCGGTTTTGTCATCCGTAGATGAGCTGGCATCTGGCTCTATCTGCGAGTCTATTTGTTCTAACGAATCTAATGCTTTATCTAAGTCACGCAATTTCTTCTCTATCAGGTCAACTTCAGCTTGAGATTCTTTCTTGTGTTCTTCCAACTTCTTTTCTTCTTTCTTGATTTCTTTTTCTAGCGGTGTTTTCATATCTAATTGTTTACTTAAGTCTTTGGTCAAGTCACTTAGTAGACTATCTATCTTGCTTTCTGTGAGAGCTTCTAATACATTTGACTTGGCGCTATCTTGTCTCAACCTTTGGCTTGGTTCGCTAACTACATCTGCGTTTTCATCATCTTCCGATGCTATGTGAAATAGTGGTTTTCTGTGTTCTTCGCGTTCTTCTATTAAAATTTCTTCAGGTTCTGTAACTATGTAAAATTCATCATCGCTTATATCTTCGACTTCGAAGTTCCTGATTTCTATTACTTCGGGGCGTTCTCCCTTTGGAAATCGTTGAGAAATGGCACGTCTTGCCATGGTAGGAGAAGTAACGTACGAAGATGCTCGTTTCTTCGAATCCGAAGCGTATTCATCGACATCTGTTGGCAAATTAGATAAATCAATGTTAGCTTCCGATATTCGACGTGACTCTCCTGCCGATTCTTTTATTACATTGGAGTAATCCGATGTCGTTCGAGTCATGGTATCACCGGGAAACACAGCTTCCGATTCTATGAAATCACGAGTCGTTCTCTTGATATCCAACCCAGGGTCAGTTTTAACACCCTGCAGAAGTGCGCTGGGTGCTTGGTCGTGAATATCCTTTTCTATTTTTTGTTTTTCTGTATCACCTTTCCCTGTGATTTTATCACCCAGTTTGCTAAAGAAACCTCCTGGTTTCTTATCTCTTTTAGTTGTGTCCTGCTTCTGATCTGTTTCTGTAGGCAATTCGTCCTCCGATTTTCCCCTTAATTCTTCACCTTTTCCGCTAAGTTTTTTTCCTAGCTTGCCTAAAAATTTCGCTTTTCCCTTTTTCGAAGTTTTTTCCGCCGTTACAGCAATTTGTTCTTCTAGGTCGTCTAACTTCCCTGCTGTTTGTGCAATTGATTTATCAACTGTTTTCAAAGCTTGTTCTCCACCTTCAGTTACCACATCTTTCGATGTAGCAAGCGATTCAAGTGCTGAGTCTTTGACTTCTTGTATTTTTGTTGAAGATGCGTCAGCAACGTGTTCTACGTTTTGCACTGCTATAGCGACTTCGGCTTCTAACCGTTCCTTTTCTTTTTGCTTTTTGTCTACGAATTCATCTACATTTTCTTCTATCTCTTTAGTCTTGCCACTAACGTAATCACCTAACTGGACAAAGATTCCTCGAGCTTCTTCTGTTGTTTTTAAGGACATATCCTTGATATCTTCTTTTAAATCTTTAGCTGTTTCTTTTGTAACTTGAGTTGATTCTTTCGTCAATCCTATACTTTTCTCCTTTGCCCTTTGTGAAGCGTCCAGTCCATCATCTATTAAAACTTCCGATGTTTGGACTATGTCCTTTACTGTTCCTTTACCTGCCTCCATTGTTTCTTTTGAAGTGTGTTTAATTTCATCTTTTACATCTATTGCGGCTTTCTCTGATGTTTGAACTACATCCTTTGCTACTGATTTGGATTTAGATGCCAATTTTTCGCCTTCTGATAAAATCGTTTCCGATTTATCATCTATAGATGTTTTTGTGTCAGTTATTTGGCTTTCTACTTTCGATTCCATATCTTTTAAACTTTTCTCTATATCCTTAGATTTACCGCTGATTTTATCTGTCAATTTACTGAAGAATCCAATTTTCTTACCTGCTTTTGGAGTACTTTGCTGCATGTCTTCAGAAGCGGCTTTTACTGATTCTTCTGTTTTTAAAATAGATTCTTCGATGTGTTCAGCACCCAAATCAACTTTCTTTTTGGATTCCAATGCAGTGTCTTCGGCAGCCTTCGAAAGTTTCACACTTTTGGCACCGATCTCAGTACGTAATGTATCTACATGTTCCGCTGCTTCGTCAATTCTTTTCTCAAGAGCTTCAATTTTCTCATCAGTTTTATCCCTTACCCCTATCTCGCTAATTTCGGTAACGTCTTTTATTGCACCGTCAAGAGGAGAAGTTACATCTCTTTGTAGATCTCTTTCTAAGCTTTCTCGTTCGCCCTCTAAAAACATTTCAGTGGACGACAAACCATCTTTTACCTTTTGCTTGGTTTCAGATGCCATTTCCTCGGTCAGTTTCATCGTAACACTAAACTTTTCATCTACTTTTTGAAGAAATGTGTCTTCTGCTTTATCTGCCTTATCTTTAACATCTGCAAGAGCTTTTGCATCGTCTTCAAATCGATAAATACTTGTTACGATGGTATCCTCTATTTCAGAAGCTTTTTCTTGTGCTGCATCTTTAATATCGGAAGCTGAACTCATTGCTTCCTTTTTACTTTCTTTTAGTAAATCATTGGCAATTTCTTTTTCCTTGACATGTTCGAGTGTATCATCGAAGCTTTGCATTATTTCAGTGACAAAGCTTGATGTTTCCTCTTTAAGGGCCTTTTCCTCCCCAGTTACGTCATCTACAATTGATTTGCGCACTTCTTGTGTAGATGTTTTAACATCGTCAAGTTTTTTGTCTGCGTCATCAATAATTTCGGATTTTGTAGTTTCAAAAGTTTTTTGTAGTTCCTTCGTGGATTCTTTAATATCATCTCCTTTCACTCCAATCTTTCCGGTTAATTTGGAGAAGAAAGACTTTTTCGGTTTCTTCTCCTTTGTTTCTGCTGATTCTACAGGCTGTGATGGATCTATTATGTGTTCACCAGTTTCTAGAATAGTTTGTTTTATTTCATGTGCTGTATCTGAAGTTTGTCTCGCCAGATCATCCACTTTGTCTCTCACGTCCGTTTTTGCGGCTTTCGCATCATCTTTAATGGTATCGTCTTTGGTAACTACTTTCTCCCCTAGTTTAGTGAAAAATCCACCAGTTTTCTTTGCTGTCTTTTCAGTTTCAGCCGCTCCATCTTTCACAGCAGCTATAGCTGTTTGTTTGGTGTCTTCTACCATCCTCGCTGTCTCTTGTTTTACTTCTTTAATATCTGTTCTAACATCTTGAAACTTTTCTTCAGTTTGATCTCTTATGTCATCCAAGGTTTTGTTGATATCGTCAGATTTTTCTTTTATAACTTTATCAATCTGGTCAAACAGATCATCCCTCTCTTCATCTATATCTTTATCAGTTAATTTAACACCTACTCTAACTCCCTGAATTTCCTCAGAAAAGTCACTGTAAGGTTCTTCAACAATTTCTTTTGTACCTTCAGCGATTTCGATAGGCACCTCCGTAATATCTTCTTTTAAACCTTTGAAAGATACTTTTTTACCAGCAGATTTAATTTCATCTCCAGCGACATCTATCGCCTGATCGGCATGCTGAATTGTGTCTTTAGTGATATCCTCTGCAATTCTGACTATACCTTCACTTTGTGGAATTTCTGAATCAAGTTTGGTTTCATTCATTTTATCATCTACAGGACCTCCGAATTTGCGTCCAATTTTCTCCATAAAGCCAACATCTTCTGTAGATTTGCCACTCTTATGTTTTTTTAATTTTCTTTTAGGCGCCTTCGGACTGCTTGCTTTCTCTTTCTTAGTGAATATTCCAAATAGTCCTGATGACTTTACTCGATCTGTGTCTTCATCGAGATCTGTTATAATTTCAGGTTTTCCGTCTTCATAATTTTCGAGTTCAGTTGACAGGAAACTGTGAGCGTCTTGCATCTTCCTCACAGCTTCATTAGATAAAACAATAGGTTGTATCACTACCTCTTCAGTTAATTTTTGAGATTTCTCTTCTTGTGATTGTTTTTTACCGAAAATTTTTAATGGACTTGCGGATTTCTTTTTAATCTTTGGACTTTCCGGGATAATTTGCTCTTCCGACTTAGGAGTGTATTTTTCCGGATATATCTCTTTTTCCTGCGACTTCCTTTTACCGAAAATCCCAAATAATCCCGATTTTTTGTCAGAATCACTTTCAACAGGTTCTTTCTTTATTATAGGTTTTCCGTCTTCATATTGAATCACCTCTTGTTCCAAGAAGTCCTTGGTTGTACCAGTTTCAGTTTTCGTTTCTGGTGAAAAGTCTTCCGAAGCTACCTGCTTTATCTCTCTTATCTTATAAGTTACATCTTTTTTTACTGGGGTTTCCTCGTCAATAGTTTCATGTATTCCGCTTATTTTTACATCACCTTCCTCTACTTCGCTGCGAATTCTGTCTATTCTCATTTGAATGTCCTTTTCTAAATCAGACAAGTCTGATAACACAGTCGGATCAAGCTGAATGGTATCTTTGAACACAACTACTTCTTTCTTTATCGTAGTCACCCTTTCTCCCGTAGGTGTTATCTCTTTGATAACAGTTATATCAGCCGTTGGAGACGATTCATCTCCAATTATGTGAACTTCTTTTATTTCTTTAACTGATCCAGGTAACATCGATTCAGTCTTCGCGTATATATCTACTGGAGATATTTTAGCTGGTTCAGATCCTTCAGCAAAACCAGTTTCCGATACCGTTTGAGGTACCACGTCATCGAATTTGTCAATTTCCGTTTTTATGAAATCATCAGAGTCCGAGATGCGTTTCACCACCGCCTCCGTATCGTCTTTGGTTGCCTTAAACTCATCTACAACTTCTTGTGGTTTAGTTTTCTTTGAAAACAGACCAAAGAATCCACTCTTTTCCTTAGTTGGTTCCTCCACTTCAGGCGCAGTCCCAGAGAACTTGGCCAATTCTTCAGAATCATGATAGCGGTCAATTTCTCCTTTATGGAAATCTTTGCTATCGGTTGCTTCTAAACCACTGACTTCCGCAAGAGGTTGTTTCGCTTTAGAGTCAAGTTTATCTTTGGATTTAGACTTTTTCTTATCTTTTTCCGGTTTCTTTTCAGTTTTTTTCTCCGCTTCTACTGAACTCTCCCTGTCCTGCGATCTCCTCTTTCCGAATAAACCAAAGAGTTTACCACCTTTGCCAGGTTTCTCTTCGTCTGGTTTAACAATGTCCGTTTGCACTATGGGTTTAACGTCATGATACTTCGAGACTTCTTCTCGAATAAAATTACTGGTGTTTATCATGTCGGCAATGACTGTTTCTGAGAGACCTGGTGGCTTTTTACTTTCCAGAGATTTGTGTCTTTTTTCATGCACTCTTGGTTCAAATTTAGGTACATAGGCACCGTCTTCATATATTTCAAGCTCGGTATTTAAGAAGTTTGTAGTCTCTGGGATATTCTGCTTTTCCGCTTCCGTTAAAATATCGTCGTGCTTGCTTTTCTTAAATATGCCTAGTATTCCACCTTTTTCATCGCCCTTTTCCACTTTGTCCTTTTTCGCAGCATCCTCTATTGCAGGTCGAACATCATGAAATTTTTCAACTTCATCTTTAAGGAAAGTATCGGTATCGTATATGTTTTTCATGACTTCTTCTGAAATAATCAAAGTGTCCTCTTTCTTATATTCTTTATCTTCTCCATGCTTTTTCTTGAATATACCGAAAAATCCTCCTTTTTCATCAGTTTCTGGTGTATCCTTTGTTATATCATCGGCCTTTCCTTTCACCTGAGCAGCTTCCGATACTATAGCATGTTCTACTTTGGCTATTTTCGATTCAGTTTCCCTTTCCTCAGAAGGTTTCTTCTTGAATATGCCTAGGAAGCCGATTTTCTTCTCTTCAGGTTTTTCCTTCACTGTTTTATCCTCACTGGCAATGCTTGGGACGATAGGCCTTACATCGTCGAAACTTTCAATCTCTGCATGTAAAAATGCGTTGCTATCGTTCATATCTTTCACTGTCGGCCCAGATAACATTGGCTTAACTAATATTTTATCGTATTCTTCTTTTGAGATGTTTGTTTCCGACGAATCAGTTCCAGCTATTTGGTCTTTTGGTGTACCCGTTGTTTGAATTTTTGTAATAGTGATTGTTTCCTTTATGACAGGTCCTTCTTCAAAATACTTAGCTACTTCTGATTTGAATAATGGGTCTTCTAGTACTGCAGTGTCTTTTTTGATGGTAACTGTTTCAGTGACTTTTTCTGGCGCTAATTCAGGAACTTTGGCAGTACCATGAGCAACTTGTCGAACGTCATGATATCTTTCAACTTCACCATTTAAGAAATCGAAGCTTTCTTCCATGTTTTTAAGAGTCGTTTCAGATGAAACTGGTTTTTCCGTTATTAGTTCCTTTTCCTCAGAAGGCTTCTTTTTGAATAGTCCCAAGAATCCTTTTTCCTTTTTTGTCTGTTCCACTGTTTCTAGCGCTGGTTCTAGCGACACTATTGGACGGACGTCATGATACCTTTCAATTTCATCGTTGAGGAAGGTATCAGTTTGCTGCATATATTTTATTGGGCTTTCCGAGAGTACAGGCAAAGATTCAGTTTTCACAGCTTTTGTATCTGTTTCTATTTCTTCGAATGGTTTCTTTTTAAGTATCTCAAAAATGCCTTTCTCTTCCTTCTGTTTTTCGCTTAATTTCTCAGTCTCTGTGATTATCGGACGAACATCATGGTATTTATCCACTTCGTCCTTTAAAAATGAGTCAGCGTCTTTCATACTTTGAATCGCTTCCTCAGCCTCTTTAGTTTTTTGAGATTTTTGTTCAATTTCCCTTTCTTCCGAAGACTTCTTTTTAAATATTCCAAACAAGCCTTTACCTTCACCTTTTTTCTCTTTTTTAGATTTTTCTGGCGACTTTCTTACTGATCCAGTTTCAATTTTTTGGATTATGGGACGTACGTCATGATAATATTGTATTTCGTCTTTTAAGAAAGAGTCAGTATCTGCCATATCTTTAAGTGTAGGTTCGCTTAACACTAGTTTTTCGACTTTCTTCGGTTCTATTTCTTTTTCTTCTGAAGATTTCTTTTTGAAAATACCAAAAAGTCCTTTGCTGTCCTGTTTTTCTTTTTCTTTTTTAGATTTTTTCGGTGACTTACTTACTTCATCTTTCAGGAATGAATCTGTTTCTGTCGTTTCTTTGAGAACTGTTCCAAATAAAACTGGTTTTGTTATTTCTTTGTCTATTTCTGGTTCCACTTCCTTTTCCTCCGATGATTTTTTCGCAAATACACCAAACAACCCTTTTGCTTCGTCCTTTTTCTTTTTTGTTGGTGTTACTTCCACAGTAATTGTTTCTTCAATAATTGGTCGTGCATCGTGATATAACTGCACCTCGTCTTGCAAAAATGAGTCGGTTGCCGTCATATCCTTTACAGTTTGTTCAGATAAAATTGGTATCTCTTTTAATTTTTCAATTTTCGACTCTATTTCTTTCTCTTCGGATGGTTTCTTTTTAAACAGTCCAAATAAACCTTTAGCTTCACCTTTGCTGGCTTTCTGTTTTTCAGTTGTTTCTACCTCCTTCTTTATAATTGGGCGAACATCGTGATATTTTGCAACTTCTTCTTTTAAGAATGTGTCGCTCTCTATAATATTTTTCAAAACATTTTCGGATAAAAGTACTGATGATTCCGTGGATGTTTCAGTCTTGGGTTCGATTTCCCTTTCTTCAGAAGTTTTCTTTTTGAATATTCCAAATAATCCTTTCTCATCATCCTTTTCGATTGCATCTGATTGTTTTTCGATAGGTCGGACATCATGATATTTGTCGACTTCACCTTTTATGAATGAATCAGTATCATGCATCCTTTCAAGGATATTTTCAGAGGAAACAGCTTCGCTCTCAACTTTTTTAACTTCTGGTTCGATTTCCTTTTCTTCAGTTTTCTTTTTGAATATGCTGAACAATCCTTTGGCATGTTCCTTCTTTGCTTTATTGGGAGATTCCTGTATTTCAGATATGTGTTGTATTTCCTTTTTAATAATAGGACGAACGTCATGATAAACCTCTACTTCATCTCTTAAGAAATTGTCAGATTCAACCATGTTCTTAAAGGTTTCTTCAGAAAATGCTGGGGCTTCTTTAGTTTTGTCAGATTTTGGCTCTATTTCTTCAGCTAGTTCCTTTTCCCTTTCTTCCGAAGCTTTCTTTGTGAATATTCCAAATAATCCTTTTCCTTCGCCTTTTTCAGCTTCAATTTTTTCAATTTTGTGTTGTTGAATGATTGGTCTGACGTCATGGTATATGTCTATTTCGTCTTTCAAAAATGAGTCAGTGTCATGCATACTTTGAAGGACGCTTTCAGAGAAAACTGCCGTGGTTTCGTGTTTCTCAACTTTTGGTTCGACATCTTTCTCATCGTGTTTCTTTTTGAAAATGCCAAAGAGTCCCTTACCATGTTCTTTCTTTTCTTTTTTGGGCGAAACATGCTTTTCGACTACCTGTACTTCTTCCTTAATAACAGGACGAACGTCGTGATACTTTTCCACTTCGTCCTTTAAAAATGAGTCGCTTTCAATAATATTTTTAATAACATTTTCAGACTGCAGCACAGGTTTCTCGGCTGATTTTTCAATTAAAGATTCGACATCCTTTTCTTCAGAAGATTTTTTCTTGAAAATTCCAAACAATCCTTTTCCTTCACCTTTTTCGACTTCAATTTTGGGTTCTTCTTTGATGATTGGTCTGACGTCGTGGTATATGTCTATTTCATCTTTCAAAAATGAGTCAGTGTCATGCATACTTTGAAGGACGCTTTCAGAGAAAATTGCCGTGGTTTCGTGTTTCTCAACTTTTGGTTCGACATCTTCTTCATCGCCTTTCATTTTGAAAATGCCAAAGAGCCCCTTACCATGTTCTTTCTTTTCTTTTTTGGGCGAAACGTTCGTTTCTGGTAACTGTACTTCTTCCTTAATGATAGGACGAACGTCGTGATACTTTTCCACTTCGTCCTTTAAAAATGAGTCGCTTTCAATAATATTTTTAATAACGTTTTCAGAGAGCAGCACAGGTTTCTGGGCTGATTTTTCAATTAAAGATTCGACTTCCTTTTCTTCAGAAGATTTTTTCTTGAAATTTCCAAACAATCCTTTTCCTTCACCTTTTTCGGCTTCAATTTTGGGTTCTTGTTTGATGATTGGTCTGACATCGTGATATATATCTATTTCATCTTTTAAAAATGAGTCAGTGTCATGCATACTTTGAAGGACGCTTTCAGAGAAAACTGCCGTGGTTTCGTGTTTCTCAACTTTTGGTTCGACATCTTCTTCATCGCCTTTCTTTTTGAAAATGCCAAAGAGTCCCTTACCATGTTCTTTCTTTTCTTTTTTGGGCGAAACGTGCGTTTCTGGTAACTGTACCTCTTCCTTAATAATAGGACGAACGTCGTGATACTTTTCCACTTCGTCCTTTAAGAATGAATCGCTTTCAGTAATATTTTTAATAACGTTTTCAGACAGCAGCACAGGTTTCTCGGTTGATTTTTCAATTAATGATTCAACTTCCTTTTCTTCAGAAGATTTTTTCTTGAAAATTCCAAATAATCCTTTTCCATCACCTTTTTCGGCTTCAATTTTGGGTTCTTGGTTGATGATTGGTCTGACATCGTGATATATGTCTATTTCATCTTTTAAAAATGAGTCAGTATCATGCATACTTTGAAGAACGCTTTCAGAGAAAACTGCCGTGGCTTCGTGTTTCTCAATTTTTGGTTCGACATCTTTCTCATCATCTTTCTTTTTGAATATGCCGAATAGTCCCTTGCCATGTTCTCTCTTATCTTTTTTGGGTGAAACGTGCGTTTCTGGTAACTGTACCTCTTCCTTAATAATAGGACGAACGTCGTGATACTTTTCCACTTCGTCCTTTAAGAATGAATCGCTTTCAGTAATATTTTTAATAACGTTTTCAGACAGCAGCATGGGTTTCTCAGTTGATTTTTCAATTAAAGGTTCAACTTCCTTTTCTTCAGAAGATTTTTTCTTGAAAATCCCAAACAATCCTTTTCCATCACCTTTTTCAGCTTCAATTTTAGGTTCTTGTTTGATGATAGGTCTGACGTCGTGGTATATGTCTATTTCGTCTTTCAAAAACGAGTCAGTGTCATGCATACTCTGAAGGACGCTTTCAGAGAAAACTGCCGTGGTTTCGTCTTTCTCAACTTTTGGTTCGACATCTTTCTCATCGTGTTTCTTTTTGAATATGCCAAAGAGTCCTTTGCCATGTTCTTTTTTAGGCGATACTTGCTTTTCAGCTACTTGTACTTCTGCCTTAATGATAGGACGAACGTCATGATATTTTTCCACTTCGTCCTTTAAGAATGAGTCGCTTTCAATAATATTTTTAATAACGTTTTCAGACAGCAGCACAGGTTTCTGGGTTGATTTTTCAATTAAAGATTCGACTTCCGTTTCTTCAGAAGATTTTTTCTTGAAAATTCCAAACAATCCTTTTGCTTCGCCTTTTTCGGATTCAATTTTGGGTTCTTGTTTGATGACTGGTCTAACGTCATGGTATATGTCTATTTCGTCTTTCAAAAACGAGTCAGTGTCATGCATACTTTGAAGGACGCTTTCAGAGAAAACTGCCGTGGCTTCGTGTTTCTCAACTTTTGGTTCAACATCTTCTTCATCGCCTTTCTTTTTGAAAATGCCGAAGAGTCCCTTGCCATGTTCATTTTTATCTTTTTTAGGCGATGCCTGCTTTTCGACTACCTGTACTTCTTCCTTAATGATAGGACGAACGTCGTGATACTTTTCTACTTCGTCCTTTAAAAATGAGTCGCTTTCAAGAATATGTTTAATAACGTTTTCAGATAGCAGCACAGGTTTCTCGGTTGATTTTTCAATTAATGATTCAACTTCCTTTTCTTCAGAAGATTTTTTCTTGAAAATTCCAAATAATCCTTTTCCTTCACCTTTTTCGGCTTCAATTTTGGGTTCTTGTTTTATGATTGGTCTGACGTCGTGGTATATGTCTATTTCATCTTTCAAAAATGAGTCAGTGTCATGCATACTTTGAAGGACGCTTTCAGAGAAAACTGCCGTGGTTTCGTGTTTCTCAACTTTTGGTTCGACATCTTCTTCATCGCCTTTCTTTTTGAAAATGCCAAAGAGTCCCTTACCATGTTCTTTCTTTTCTTTTTTGGACGAAACGTGCGTTTCTGGTAACTGTACTTCTTCCTTAATGATAGGACGAACGTCGTGATACTTTTCCACTTCGTCCTTTAAGAACGAGTCGCTTTCAATAATATGTTTAATAACGTTTTCAGATAGCAGCACAGGTTTCTCGGTTGATTTTTCAATTAATGATTCAACTTCCTTTTCTTCAGAAGATTTTTTCTTGAAAATTCCAAATAATCCTTTTCCTTCACCTTTTTTGGATACAATTTTGGGTTCTTGTTTGATGATTGGTCTGACGTCGTGGTATATGTCTATTTCATCTTTCAAAAACGAGTCAGTGTTATGCATACTTTGAAGGACGCTTTCAGAGAAAACTGACGTGGTTTCGTGTTTCTCAACTTTTGGTTCGACATCTTTTTCGTCATCTTTCTTTTTGAATATGCCAGAGAGTCCTTTACCGTGTTCTTTCTTATCTTTTTTAGGCGACGCCTGCTTTTCAGCTAATTGTATTTCTTCCTTAATGATAGGACGAACATCGTGATATTTTTCCACTTCTTCCTTTAAGAATGAGTCGCTTTCAATAATATTTTTAACAACGTTTTCAGACAACAGCATTGGTTTTTCGCTGGATTTTTTAATTATAGGTTCGATCTCCTTTTCTTCGGAAGGTTTCTTCTTGAATATTCCAAAGAGTCCTTTTCCAGCATCCTTTTCGACTACGTCACCTTGTTGGATGATTGGTCTCACATCATGGTATTTATTTATTTCGTCTTTTAGGAATGAGTCTGTCTCTTGCATATTTTGGAGAACAGTTTCAGAAAGGATTCCTTTGCTTTCCTCTCTTTCCACTTTTGGTTCGATATCATTTTCATCGCCTTTCTTTTTAAATATGGCAAAAAGACCCTTTCCATGTTCCTCGTCCTTTTTGGCCAGTTTTTGTACTTGTTCAGCTTTATCTTTAATAACAGGACGCACGTCATGATACTTTTCTATTTCATCTTTTAGGAAGGAATCACTGGCAATCATATACTTGATAATTTCTTCGGATAAGACTGGGACGTCCCGGGATTCTTCAATGTTAGTTTTTGGCTTCTTTTTCTCGTCAATTTTCTCTTCAGTTGATTCTAGTATGACTTTCTCTTTAACTACCGGACGCACATCATGATAATTGTCAATTTCATCTTTCAGGAATAAATCACTGTCTAACATGTATTTAATAAATTCTTCGGATGTTTCTTTTGCAATAGTTTTCGCTTCGGATTTTTCAACCTTTGGTTCAATTTCTTTCTCATCGGATTTCTTCTTGAATATTCCGAAAAGACCTTTTCCATGATCTTTCTTTTCTTTTTCAGCACGCGGTTCAATTTCTTTATCTTTAGATGGTTTTTCCTGGAATAATTCATGTTTTTGGACGTCTACCGGCTTTTCAATTGTTTGAGTTACAACTGGGTGCTTAATAACAGGTCTGACGTCGTGATATCTGTCAATTTCTTCATTTAGAAATGAATCACTATCTTGCATATCCTTAAGGATATTCGCGGATAAAACTGGTTTCTCCTCAAGTTTTTCTACATCTTTTTCGACAGTTTTCTTCCTGAAAATGCCGAACAAGCCTTTGCCGTGTTCTTTCTTTTCCTTCTTTTGCTTCTCTGGGGATTTTTGCTTTCCCGAGGGTTTTTGCTTTTCTGCAGACTTTTGCGTTTCTGGAGATTTTTGTTTTTCTGGGGTTTTTTGTTTTTCTGGAGATTTTTGCTTCTGTGGGGATTTTTGTTTATCTGTAGATTTTTGTATTTCAGCAAGTTCAGCAGTTGTAACAATTGGACGAACATCGTGGTATCTCTCAATTTCGTCCTTCAAAAATGTGTCCGTTTCTACCATATCCTTGACAACTTGTTCGGAAAGAACCAGAGATTTCTCTACTCTTATAATTTTTGGTTCGATTTCTTTCTCCTCCGATGACTTCTTTTTGAATAATCCAAACAGTCCTTTTCCTTCGCTCCTTTCCTGTTTGTCACTAGGTGGTTTCGTTTCCAACTTTTTAACTATGGGACGAGCGTCATGATATCTTTCAATTTCATCATTCAAGAACGAATCTGTTTGTTCCATGGCATTTTCAGATAACGCCTCTTGCGAAATTTTCATTAGATCTTTCTTTTGATCATCTTTAGGTAATATTGAAGTTTCTGTTTCTATTACTGTCTCTTTCTCTATAACTTGAGGATGCACTTCATGATATTTCTCGATTTTTGTAACTGCAACCACACCTGGTTCTATCAGTTGCTTTTTCTCAGTGGCTGTTACTGATTCAGTGGTAATTGGCCGAACGTCATGGTACCTTTCAACTTCGTCCTTTAGGAATTCATCTGATTCTTTCATGACTTTAATGGTAGTTGCAGATATCGCCTGTGCTTCAGTTTTCTCTTTCTCAACGTCTTTCTCTGCTGGCTTTCTTTTTAAGATACCCAGCAAACCTTTCTCATCTTCTTTTTGCTGTTTTCTTATTTTTTCGGGGGACAACTTTGTCTCTGCTTGTGGTACAGAAGTCACTATTGGGCGCACGTCATGGTACCAAGTTACCTCGTCTTTTAAGAATGAGTCACTGTTTTTCATATTTTCTAAGGTAGCTGCGGAAAGTACTGGTTTAGCGGTTACTTTCTCTTGTTTCGGTTCCATATCTCTCTCTTCGGATGGTTTCTTTTTGAATATTCCAAAGAACCCTTTGGCTTCGTCTTTCTTTTTCTTTTTCGGTTTTTCTGGGGATGTAACTACTTCGACGTTTGCTGTTTCTTTTATTACAGGCCTCACGTCATGATAGAATTTAACTTCATCTTTTAAAAATGAATCGCTTTCTCCCATCTGCCTCTCCACTTCTTGGGATAGCACTGGCTGGGCTTGTACTTTTTCGATTGTTGATTCAAGTTCTTTTTCTTCGGACGGTTTTTTCTTAAATATACCGAAGGAGTTTTTGGATTTGTCAATTGGTTCTTTTGTAATTTCTATATCTGTTACCTCAGTTATGATTACTTTATCTGAAACAACAGGTCGTACATCATGGTACTTATCTACTTCGTCTTTTAAAAATGAAGTAGAATCCTGTATATGTTTAATAAGTGTTTCGGAAGGTACAGCTTTCACCTGTGTGTCTTCTATTTTAGTTTCTAATATTTGTTCTTTGGGAAGGGCAATCTCGCTTACTAATTCCAATTTTTTATCAGTTTCCACCTTACTTTGCGGTATTGCGGGAACATATTTAACGTCATGATATTTATCAATTTCTTCCTTTAGGAAAGCGGTGGAATCGATCATATTTTTAATAGCGATGTCAGAGAAAACTGGCCTGGACTCTTCATCTTTCTTTCCTCTTTTGAATAGACCCAGGAAACCTTTCTCTTCTTTTTCCTTTCCTCGACCTTTCTTTGGAGACTTTTGGGGTTCAGTAACTTCGGATCTTTCCTCCACGTCAACTTTTTCCTTGCTTTTACCTTTCCTTAATTTTGGATACTTTTGAACTTCAATCTTCACTTCTTGTTCTTTTGATGTTTCTTCGTCTTGTTTTTCGATGACTTCCTTTTTGCTATCATCGTCTGAATCTTCCGCTTCTTTAGATTTGCCAAACAAACCGAATAGTTTACCGTGCTTCCGTTTCATTTTTTGACTGTCAGTTATCTTTTCCTTTAGTTCTTCTTTCCCTTCGACTTTTTGCGTTGTGGGAACTTTCTCATCTTGTCCAGCAAAGGCGACTTCATTCTGAATTAGATCGGTCGTTTTAGTTTTTATATCGTCGATGATTTGTAAGGGTGGAATAATACTAAGATCTGACACGAATCTTTCTGAAGGTTCGTCGATGTCTTCATAAACGTGATCCCTCAAACGCGGCGGCCTGACGGGACCCTCAATTTGCGCAATAGGTTTAACTAACTTTTCATCGGATAAAATAGGCGATTTTTCCATTAACTCTTTTTCGATTTGGTTGATACTTTCGTCTATGTTAATGGTGAACGTTTCTTTCGTTTTCTTAAGAGATCCTTTTCGTGTGGGATCAATGATGATTGTAAATTCTTCTTCTTCTACGGTGGCTGGCGCAAAAGTTTTTTCTATTATTTCGTCAACCACGACAATTTTCTGTTTTTTAGCTTTCGGCGACTTTTGTAACTGTTTTACGGCTTCCTCGCCGTCACTGATGACACCTGTTACGATTTCTTTAGCTTGGTCTGTTACGGCATCGGAATCGGTGTCGTCTAGATCTGTTACAGGAATAGTTATTGACACTTTATGTGTCGTTTTGGCGGGCACTTCTTGTTCGGGTACGGGATAGGGAGTTAGTTCTTGCGTTGTTATTTCAGCGGGTAAGTATGACGGTGTAGTGTCGGAAGGTGATGCTTCTACGAAAGGTATGTCTGCGTATTTCTGTTCCTCAGTGGGTATGGAAATCTTTGGTTTTCGCGGAGGACGTGGGGGGACTTCAGGAGGAAGTTCTCCAGAAGGTATCTTCTTTTTCTTCTTCTCTTTCTTCGGCTTCTTTTCTTTTTTGGGTGATTTTTCGGAATCGGAATCGGAGAGATCGAGCGACTTGCCAACAAATGTCTTTATTGTTCCTAGGATGCTCTTCTTTCTCTTTTTGTCTTCCTTGGGCGAACCCTTTTCTTCCGCTTTTTGAACTTTGTAGTGTTTTTCCGTATGCGGATGATAGGGTTCAGCACGTGACTCAGATTGAATTAAAGCATTAGTTTGGTCATAAATCGATTTTGAAATTTCGGATGAGAAAATATTATCGCTAACGGGTAAGTCGTCAAGGGTTAAATCTTCGTTACTAACTAAATAATGTGCTGTCGTAGTCGTTTTTCCTGTAAGAACATGCACTTTCCAACAAGCTATACTATCTACCAAACCTTAACCCTAATATCTCTTTAAAATATCCTTACTGCAGCAAGGGGGGGCGGCCTTGGGTTCGAAAAACTTAGGAGATTAGTCAAAACCTACAAAATCGCAACAACCCATGCGTATGAGTCCAGCACGGAACACGAATAAACTTATTAAACTTTACCTCTAGGAGGGTCTTCTTTTTGAGATAACCAATCGCAGTATGCTTGAGGAATTGCCGCACTTTCCTTCAAGGGATAAGAAACAAATTGTGTGGAATTAGTGCTACGGGATGGGTCAATGGTTTGCGAGTACTGATCGTAACATGGATAAAAAGGGATATTTGCATAAAGGTCTACCTTGTTGTTTTCACATTGCTTTACAGATTCCGGATCGTACTCTAAGGGAAACCGTTCATTGGAGGTCGCGAAGAGTTCGGTCTTACTCTTTGATAGTTCTTTCGTTTTCAATAAATTGCCATCTGCAGGTTTTATTAAATCAGCTTCTGGGTTCCTCACAAACAATCTCTGTAATGTAAAAGAAGGCTTACCATTCCCTTCTTTTGCAGTAGCTTGAGAATTATCTGAGTCCGGTAAAAGGGAATACGAAGAAGACTTTTTCTTTTCCAATAAGCTGGAGAACTTATTGGTTATGGTACTGAATTTCTCACTGAGTTTGCTCGGTAATGTTTGACTCCTCTCTTTGATCGCTTTCTTATTTTCCTCTAACGGTTCGGAATTGCTTCTCGGGGAATTTTCCATGAATTCACGTACAGATCTAATTTCGATAGCTTCTTTGCCTTTATCGGATGTTTTAACTAATAATTTTACCTCTGCTTTTACCACTTTTTCACACGTTTCGTATGTCCCTTCATCAGAACTCGTCGAAAACGTTGAGGAGCTATCACTAGATGAGTTGTCAGTCTCAACAGTTTCATTATTCGAGGGATCTGAAATCGATATTAAAGGAATTGTTTCGGTCGTGCTGACAAGAGTCGTATATGGCTTGGAGGCGTAAGCTTTGTTGGAGTAACAACTGCTTAACAGGCTCATATTCTCCTCGTCTTCTTCTGGGACAATGCTGAGGTTCCTGTATGTTCCCTCCCACCAAATATCGTTCCCAGTCCTGTTGTCGTGAAGCTGGTATGCGTAAGACAATGGTTTGTTTTCTATTAATTCATAGTCGTCGTCAATAAATGCCTCGCTTTGATCAGCGGATTCATTCGGGTCGTTCCAGCTATCAGGATAGTCGTCGCTGAGAGTTTCGCTAGAGGCGATTGTGATTTTATCGAAATCAATTTTGTAGTTGCTAGTGTATAGTTTCTCTGGAGTGTCTTTTTCTAGTAGCATACAGGCCTCATCTTCCTTAACTGCTTCGACCAAACTATTTATGTTGTGTGCAATTTCATCTAGATCTTTTCTCGTAGTCTCCCCAAAGTCGATCAAATCGTAAGAATGGTCTGTTATTTCTTTTGGTTTGTTGTTGTTGAACCTTACGTACTCGAAGGGACAGTCTGGTTTGTTGTCACCAATTAATAATTCTTGTGTGGTTTCGTATACTCTAGGCTTCTTAATTGATTTTTTTATGGGTACTTCGATAAGGGCGTCGGTGCTCGGTAGCAGTTCCAAGGTATTAACGCATGGTGCCTCAGGATCCAGCACGTCCAAATCCAAGCCGAATAGTTTTTCCTGTTTCTCCACCTCGAACAGCATCTTCTCAAGCATGGCGTCGATTTGAGTGTAAGAGGTAGTTTTATGCACATATTGGGGATCGGATAGGGAAGGGGACATACTGCGTTTTGGCGTTAACAGCACGCTTTCGTACGTGATAAACTGGGTACCAGCGGGGGGACAATCTGGCGGAAAAATTGAACTTACAGATTACCAGGCATTAACCTTACTGGAGTAAGAATATTTGTACAAAGTTAGTAAAACTGGATGAGAAAACTCGATTATATTTCCGATGATGTATGAATGATAACTGAAAAAGTTATAACGGATAGTTGCCGGAAGCTACTGTGCTGAAAACCAGCCCCTCCAGCTAATACTGAGGCTGTCAAAAGCTGAAAAATGCCGGACGTACGGTGTGCTATATATTGGCATGCGCATGCTCAAGTTTCGTCGTTTCCGTGAACCGCGGGAAGCATAATTTGCCATTGCTCTAAGCCATGTTAGTCGAAAATAACAAACTTCTTTAGATTTAAATTGTAGTGTTAGTGTATAAGTGCTGTGTTAATGCACATAAAGCATCCTCTGGCTTAACTGATGGAAAATAAAAAGAAAATAAAGGTGTTAATAAGATGGAGATAGTGATAACTGTGATAAATGGCGGTGCCCCTATCATGGTGAAATGATGTTGAGAAATACCTGCATGTTATACACAATGTCATTTAAAAGTTTTGGTTGTTACATTATTCTTAGGGATATGAATTGCGACCATTAGAAATTTTTCTGCACAGATAGTTTAGAGACACGAGGAAGGCGTCACAAGTTGGCAGAAACTTGCCAAATGACTTGGTTTATTACTTTTACACATTGGCTGTTAAATACAATTAACACATTGCGCCACTTATTCCTCATTGGTTATTTGGTTAATTACAGAAATATTTAGCGGAAGTTAGTAATTAATTATTTCTAATTGTCGTAAATTGAAAATGGTACATGTTTTTCACGTACCTTCCTAAATTAAAAAGAACAACCAAAACTTCTCTCAGTTCAGAGCATTGCATGACATTTTGATGTTTTAATACTTGTTCGTGAAATGCCCCAATAAAAGCAAAATTTATATTATTTGATGTAATTACAAATGTACAACACCTCTAATGAAGCAAAATCCCCTTCCATTGTAAACAATACAAATTTTGCAGCAATAGTTTCCCTCTAAATCTATTATCTCTTACCTTGCTGTGCTGCGTCTTCTATTAGTGCTTTGGGCTCGGACATTGCCGGCTTCTTCTGGGCGTCCCATTCTAAAAAAAAATGCGGAATCATTAGAATACAACAGTTTAAAATAGGGCCTTAACCTAAGACAATGCACACTTCATAGAGAATATGGATGTCTCTTACCGAAGGAACAGCTTGCTTCACATGCAGTGTTTGTTGCTTACGGTTTTAATACTCTTGGTGTTAGTGAACATGCATTTTTTTTTTGTTAATTTTGTTATGCCATACCTACTTTGTGAGCGGTTGTACCAAACGCTCAGTAATCATATTTTTTATACTGTATTGGGAATTCTGATAGGTGTAATTTATTTAATTTTTCATATTTGTTGCATACAAAATAAGGTGCAATACATAGGTCATTCATCCTTAAAATAAATATAAACAATTACCTTTTCCGATCCCAAACGACACAAACCCATCGTGAAAATTCAGCGATACCGTTTCCTTATTACCATTAGTCATATAATCCTCAAGATCGACCACACCAGTTGCAAATTCATGTTCCATGTCAGAAATATCCTCAACATCGGTATTTCGCTCGGTATAGCCACCACCTTTCAGATACATAACCTCATTTGGAGCATCCGCGTCAAATTTGTTTACGACTGCGGCGTAGACCTTGCTAGAACTCATCCCGTCGAATTCGCTGTGCACCTGATTAGGCGTAGCAGTTTCAGCCCTGGAGTAGTTTGCGTTGTCCTCATCTGCCGATGCTACCATGTCTTCAGTATCAGTATTCGTGGGACTGACAGTTACTTGCGTAATTCCTTTCTTGTACAAGTTGACCGATATGCGATCCTCTTTTGAAAAGGGCCCTGCGCCTTCCTTCGCCATAACCGTCTCACATCCCATTTCCCGCATATGCTGAGGAGTGCAAGACAGCGGTCTTACACCAGCATCTTTATCCTCTTCGGAGGAATCGGCCAAATTTTCTACATCTGTAACGACATCGTTGGCTTGCCTTGGAATTAGGTGGTTTGTCTGTTCTACATTATCATCACTTAAGTAAACGTCTTCAGTATCAGTTAGTAGCGCTCTTTCCTCATTCACTAATAGTTTATTCCTTCTCGCAAGGCTCTTTTCGTGTAGGTACTTGAATTTAGGTGCTCTGCGATGTTTTACTTTACCGTCCAATATCAAATCTTCGGTGTCTGTCACTGCACCGTTATCTACAGCAGTTGTTTTCAACTTTTGTCCCAAAGTATCGATTATTTGAACGAAACCAAAATCCAAGGAGGGCAATTCAGGAGTCGCAATAGTCCCCAACGTTTCTAAAGCGTCCTCCGCTTCAGAAATGCTCTCTTCGTCAGTTTGTACCTTTGGTAAGTCCTGAAGCTGTATCTTCTCCGGTGCATCGTCCTCGAGTGGTAGAATATGCACAGAGGGTTGAGGATTATTTTCTTTCAAAACAACTAGGTTGCGACTAGGAAGAGGTAATTCTATTTCTGGGAATTGGTAGGTGGAATCAATCTCATCGTCCTCGAAATCTTCTTCCTCGGTGAAATTTTGGTTTAGTAAAGCTAAAGGCATTGTTTCTGATCCATTTTCATCTGATGAGCTATCAATGGCTTCAGAATCAGTTATGTTCCCTTCCTTAAAATTTTTTTTAGATTTACGTAAAACACTTGTTTTAGGCTTAGGAGAAAAACATATCTTGTAATTAATGCTCTTTCTTCTGTTTCCTTGATCACTTGCATCATCTTCGCTTTGATAATTATCTGATTCCGTACTCTGGTGTTTGGAGGATGCTGTGTCTTTGTTCGGAGCTTGTTTGTTTTTGTCTTTGTTCAAAGCTTGTTTGTAAATACGTTTGTTTTTGACCATGGTGTTTATCTCTGTTGTTTGACTATAACAATTCACAATATCGCTCAATTTCTCCACAAGAGAATTATCGCTTGATAGTTCATTCTCCAAGAGTGGTGACTGATCGCCCACTTCTCCCTCGACATCCTCTGTATCGGTTAACAAGTTGGTTTCAAAGTTGGGAATTTTTAACATGCTTCTCTTTGTTACCTTTTTGCAAATGGGGAATCGAACGTTTCCATTATCCTCGTTATCTGATTCGAAATTTAAAGATTGGCTTTTTGCCATGAGGTTCGCGCGAGTTTGCCTTTTTGAAGACTTTTTATTCTGAGTAAAACATCCCACTTCACTCTCGGAAATCTCCAGATCTTCTACATCGGTCTCTGAATATTTTCGACCGCCTCTACGGCGTCGTCTTCTAGATTTATCCTTTACGGTATCCGTTTCGTCATTTAAATCTGAATACAGTACCTCGACGTCAGTCAGGTCGGACAGATTTGGAGAAAGGGACAAAGTACTCAACTGGTTCACGTTCAGGTTATTATCTGGGATGTCGCTCGAGGTATTCTCATGATTAAATTTGATTATTTCTGATACGTTTACGTCATCATTGTAGTATTCCAAGTTCATGTTAGCTGTTGTAATCTCCTTCGATTCCAGTTCACTATCTGTATTGAAAGATTCCTCATCTGTCAGATTAGTAAGAGCATCGTTAGATTCTTCGAGTGGTTCTTTCTTCATTTGCGTAATAGAACGTTGTGTTCTTAATTTATTTTTTCCTTTGCCTGGCATTCCTTGGTCCTTAAATGACTCCTCATATGTACCTTCTTCCAAATCCATATTTTCTAAAGATATGGGCGATTTATGTTTAATTAATTTTATTTCTTCTTCATTATCAGATGCTTCATAATCTTCATAGTCCGTAGTATAGATGTCGTCTGTCAATTTTATCTTCAATTTATTTTTCCTTGCGATTTTTTGTTTGGTATTCGTAGTTGGAGATTCTTCTTCGTCAATTGCTTCTAGATCCGTTAGTGTTTCCGTTAGATCAAAAACATTGTCATCGTCTTCTTCAGACCCAGGAGTTATAGCAATTTTTGGTATGTCCGGATTTAATGACATTTCTATAGGGTGAATCTTCTGTACTTCTGTTCCTTTCTACACTACAAAATTAAACTTTTATTTCATTTTACTTTAGTAATTGCCATGTATCCCTTGTATTTGTTAAATAAGTAAGAATATTACTGTTTGTATTTGTACGCCACTTTTAAGAATAAAAGGAATATACAAATAATAACTTAATCTTAAAATTGTGTTGAAATGCTGCCACTAAGAAGGCAGTTATACTAAAATGACAACATTTGAAACTCTTAGACGATGTTGTCGATGTTCTAAAATGGAGAAATAGAATTTTAAACTATCTGTAAAATTAACTAGTCTTGGCGTTATTAGAGGCTTTCTCTTATTTCCCAAAAGAGAAATCCTTAATATTTTCAAAACATAAGTGCGTGATATTGAGCAACAGTGACCAACGATGATATAACAAACCATGCTGGATCTGCTGCGAAAGAGTGGTCTAGTCTCCAATATAAACCACTTTTTTATTTTGTTTGCAGGTGCATTTATACGTAGAATAACATTTTGGTCATAAAATCGAGGTGTTACACCTTTTTTTAAGATGTTATTGAGAAATTGAAGAAAACCCCTTTACAGGCACCGAAATTGATTCAGTCCGTGTATACAACACTGGACTATTTAAGGACTTACCTTGTTCCGCTCTCTCCTAGGAAATTTGATAGAGACCTACTTAACTAAAGAAAGCATGCAAATTTACTATGACTGTTCTAGTTTGGGCATTTTGTTTCACTATAAAAGCGACTCTACTCGTTTTGGGGATTATACCTCTTTGCTTGTGTCTATTCGGAAAGCCATGCTGTGGGATGACACCGCTTTAGGGTCAGGCAACACGGATAATGTTGTACCTGGAGTTGCATCCCCTTCTTCTTCCTCTTCCTCGTCCCCTTCCTCCTCGTAAGAAAATTGGTGCTTCCTCCTGGGAGGAGACACGATTTCCACGTCAATGATAGGCGACAACCTATCCTCGGACTTTTGAGACCCGGTCTCTGTGGGTCTTCGTGAAACCTCAATCGACAAGCCGTATTCGGCCTGTTTCATCTCCTCGTAGTGAGACATAACCAATTTTCTGGGAAGAGATACAGCGGAGGATATGTCTTGTGTGGCTATTTGGTCTGGAGCTGTGTCCGCGCAGATTATGAGGTCGGAGACCCTGTGTTCGGTTTCGTGAATGGACTCCAGACTTCTGCGCTGCCTAGGAGAGGACGGGGAGATGGATTTGAATCGACCATTGGCGTCGGAGCTCACGTCATGGTCTGAAGGAGAACTGGGTAAGGCTACGGATTCTGACAAGCTAGAGTCTGTGGTGTCGATAAGCGACATTTCTGTCTCGTTTTTTAAAGCAGATACTACCCTTCGAATGTTTTCCAAGGGCTGTCTGTATATTACCTCGATGGAACCGGTGTAGTTCTGGGTTCTGGTGAACACTTCGGAAGTGATGAGTTTAGTGCCACCACTAACCGATCTCATTCTTATTGGGCTACCTGGTAAAGAGGTGGGGCTGGTGCTCTTGCGATCCTCCTCTACCAATTCGTGGCATGTGGTAGGGATTACGGATTGGCTGCGGATCCGGTCGGAAAATTGGACGGTTTTATCGGAATCAAGTTTCGTGGACGGTTTCTCACCAGACTGCGTGGAAAACCTTTTGATATGTTCAGTTACAATGGTGCGGCGTAATTTGGTTGGGGAGGGACTAGGTTTGGGACTGTCGATTCTCGTTACTAGTTCTGCCTTATAAACTTTGGCATCTGTAGGATATGTAGTGATGCTTTGTGGTTGCTTCTTTTCGACTATTTTATTCGTGTCGACTGTTTTGGTTCTTAATTGTTTCTTTGGTGTTGAGTGGACTGATGAAATGTACCTAGAAGTTTTCATTTTTTCTATTTCTACCTGTTTCTCAATGTCCATAGATTGCATATCTTTTATTTTCTTTTGCGTCGCCTCTTTCGACTGGGAAACTTTTTTGGTAGCAGTAGTTTTAGTATGGGTTTGCTTATAGTGCGACTCGATCTTCTTTTCCACTTTATGTTCGAATTTAAGTTTGCTTTTTATTTTTTCGTTGGCGTTGTCAATTTCCCGCTTATCTTTAGTTTTCACAAGTTGCACTGTAGTTTTGTCCTTGGTTTTTTCAATTTTCATGTCTCTAGAAACAGTAGACTGCATGTATCCGTGAATGCGGGTATCGTACTTTCTAACAATTGAGGTAGGCTTCGGCATTTCTGGAGTTTTAGATTTTTTCCGCAAGTAGTCGTGTCTTTTATGAGGACTCTCTTTCGGAGTGTCTCTAGATGGACTGTCAGAGCTGGATAATCTGGGCAAAGCTGTCTTAATTAATTTAGGAATGTTTGACTCGCCTTTAGATTGACGTGAACTGGTTCTAATTACTTCTGTTGATTTTACTTTTTCAGTTGACCGAGTCTTTGACGTTTTCTTCAAAATTTTACCTTTAGAGGTTTGCTGAGTTCTCCTATCATCATCAGAACTTATATCAGCGTCACTTGTCACTTTTAGAACCTTCACCTTCTGACCTTGACGTCCAACTGACATCTTTTTCTTTTCGGCTTCCTCCTGTATTGATTTAGATTTAGTTTGTTTTGACTGCACAACCCTCATTTTTTTACTCACTTTGTCTTTCTCAAAATGTGTTTTTGTTGTTTCCTTCACGTCGCGAACAGTTACTTCCAGCAAATCGTCTTTCATCACTATATCGGATGTTAACACCTTGTATCCTTTATTAACGTCATCCGATAATTTTAATTCTTGTTTCGTAGGTTGTGATATTTCTATAATCGAAACGTGAGATTCAGTTTCCAATAGTGTATGTTCTAATTTATTCGAAGAATCGGTTTCAGAAGAAAATGGTTCGGCGTCGGTTTCAGACAACTTTGCTGACTCTCTACGACAGGAAGATTGGTACTCTGTCATGTATTCGGCATCATGCCTCTCAAACTGTATTTCTAATGATGGATGCATAGCTTTAGTTTCTATGTCTACAAGTTCTGGCGACTCAAGCAATTGTTCTACATCTATTAAAGTGGTAGTACCTTTAGTCATCTCTTGAACCTCGTCATGTTCTAGAAAATGATCACTATCCTTTGCTAGTGTGGTGGATGATTCTAATTCTACAACTGGCAGTTCCGAACCCTCAAGCGTATATTCTACTGCAGCAGTATCTCTCCTAACACTTTTGACGTGAGTAGGTTTAGTAAAATATTTCTGCTTCTCCCCTAAAGTCTCAGATTTTTTAATTGCTTCGAATTCAACTATACTTTCAACTATTTTTGTAGGTACTGCTACAAATTTTTCTTTCTCTTGGGTAGTCTTAAGAAGTTTGACTTTTTCTGAAAGTAGTGATGATTCAGCTAATGGTATTTCAACTGTTTCTTTCTCTTCTGGAGTCTTAGCTTTCGCAATTGGTTCCAGTTCAGCGGGAAATTTAACTTTCTCTGTAGGTAGTGCTGGTTCAGCTTCAGCTATTTTAACTTTATCCTTCTCTTCAGGCGTCTTAGCTTTCGCAATTGGTTCAAGTTCAACAGGATATTTAACTTTTTCAGGGGGTAGTGTTGGTTTTGCTACAGGTATTTCAACTCTATCTTTCTTTTTTGGAGTCATAGCTTTCGCAATTGCTTCTAGCTCAACAGGAAATTTAACTTTTACTGTATATAGTGCTGGTCCAGCTTCAGGAATTTCAATTTTATCCTTCTCTTCAGCAGTCTTAACTTTTGCAATTGGTTCCAGTTCAGCGAGAGATTTATCTTTTTCTGTATGTAGTGCTGGTTCAGCTATAGGTATTTCAACTTTTTCTTTCTCTACTGAAGTCTTAGGTTTCGCAATTGTTTCTAGCTCAACAGGAGATTTAACTTTTTCTGTATCTAGTGCTGGTTCAGCTACAGGAAATTCAACTTTTTCTTTCTCTTCGGAAGTCTTATATTTCGCAGTTGGTTCTAGTTCAACGGGAAATTTAACTTCTTGTGTAGGTAGTGCTCGTTCAGTTACAGATGATTCAACTTTTTCTTTCTCTTCAGGAGTCTTTGCTTTCGCAATTGGTTCTAGCTTATCTGGAGTTTTTACTTTTTCTGTAGGTAATGTTGGTTTATCTACAGGTATTCCAACTTTTTCTTTTTCTTCTGGAGTTTTAGCTTTCGCAGTTGGTTCTAGTTCAGCAGGAGATTTGACTTTTACTGTAGGTAGTGCTGATTCCGTTACAGGTATTTCAACTTCTTCTATCTCTTCAAGAATCTTAGCTTTCGCAATTGGTTCCAACTCAACAATAGATTTAACTTTTTCTGATGGTAGTGTTGGCTCAACTGCAGGTATTTCTACTTTTTCTTTCTTTTCAGGAGTCTTAACTTTCGCAGTTGGTTCTAGTTCAGTAGGAGATTTAACTTCTTCTGTGGGTAGTGCTGGTTCCGTTACAGGTATTTCAATTTTTTCTTTCTCTTCGGGAGTCTTAGCTTTCGGAATCGGTTCCAACTCAACAGGAGATTTAACTTTTTCTGTTGTTAGTGTTGGCTCAACTGCAGGTATTTCAACTTCTTCTTTCTCTTCAGGAGTCTTAACTTTCGCAATAGGTTCTAGTTCAGTAGGAGACTTAACTTTTTCTGTGGGTAGTGCTGGTTCAGTTACAAGTACTTCAACTTTATCTTTCTCTTTAGGAGTCTTAGCTTTCGCAATTGGTTCCAACTCAACAGGAGATTTAACTTTTTCTGTTGGCAGTGTTGGCTCAACTGCAGGTGTTTCAACTTTTTCTTTCTCTTCAGGAGTCTTAACTTTCGCAGTTGGTTCTAGTTCAGTAGGAGATTTAACTTTTTCTGTGGGTAGTGCTGGTTCAGTTACAGGTATTTCAATTTTTTCTTTCTCTTCGGGAGTCTTACCTTTCGCAATTGGTTCCAGCTCGACAGGAGATTTAACTTTTACAGTTGGTAGTGTTGGCTCAACTGCAGGAATTTCAACTTTTTCTTTCGCTTCAGGAGTCTTAACTATCGCAGTTGGTTCCAGCTCAACAGGTGCTTTAACTTTTTCAGTAGGTAGTGCTAGTTCAGTTACAGGTATTTCAACATTTTCTTTCCCCTCAGGAGTCTTAGCTTTCACAATTGGTTCCAGCTCAACAGGTGTGTTAACTGTTTCTGTAGGTAGTGCTGGCTCAGCTACAGGTATTTCAACTTTTTCTTTTTCTTCAAGAGTCTTAGCTTTCGCAATTGGTTCTAGCTCAACAGGTGTTTTAACTTTTACTTCAGGTAGTGCCGGTTCAGCTACAGGTATTTCAACTTTTTCTTTTTCTTCAGGAGTCTTAGCTTTCGTAATAGGTTCCAGCTCAACAGGAGTTTTCACTTTTTCTGTAGGTAGGGCTGGTTCAGCTACAGGTATTTCTACTTTTTCTTTCTCTTCGGGAGTTTTAACTTTCGTAATAGGTTCCAGCTCAACGGGTGTTTTAACTTTTTCTGTAAGTAGTGCTGGTCCAGCTACGGGTATTTCAACTTTTTCTTTCTCTTCAGGAGTCTTAGCTTTCGTAGTTGGTTCCCGTTCAACAGGAGTTTTAACTTTTTCTGTAGGATGTGTTGGTTCAGTCACAGGTTTTTCAACTTTTTCTTTCTCTTCCGGAGTTTTAGCTTTCGCAATTGGTTCCAGCCCAACAGGTGTTTTAACTTTTTCTGTAGGTATTTCAACTTTTTCTTTTTCTTCAGGAGTTTTAGCTTTCGAAATAGGTTCCAGCTCAACAGGAGTTTTCACTTTTTCTGTAGGTAGTGCTGGTTCAGCTACAGGTATTTCAAATTTTTCTTTCTCTTCGAGAGTCTTAGCTTTCGTAATAGGTTCCAGCTCAACAGGTGTTTTAACTTTTTCTGTAGGTAGTGCTGGTTCGGCTACAAGTATTTCACCTTTTTCTTTTTCTTCAGGAGTCTTAGCTTTCGCAATTGGATCCAGCTCAACAGGTGTTTCAATTTTTTCAGAAGGTGGTGCTGGTTGAGCTACATGTATTTCAACTTTTTCTTTCTCTACAGGAGTCTTAACTTTCGTAATAGGTTCCAGCTCAACGGGTGTTTTAACTCTTTCTGTAGGTAGTGCTGGTTCAGCCACAGGTAATTCAACTTTTTCTTTCTCTTCAGGAGTTTTAGCTTTCGCAATTGGTTTTAGCTCAACAGGAGTTTTAGCTATTTCTGTAGGTGGCGCTGGTTCAGCAACAGGTATTTCAACTTTTTCTTTCTCTTCGGGAGTCTTAACTTTCGTAATAGGTTCCAGCTCAACAGGTATTTTAACTTTTTCTGTAGGTAGTGCTGGTTCAGCTACATGTATTTCAACTTTTTCTTTCTCTTCAGTAGTCTTAGCTTTCGTAATAGGTTCCGGCTCAACAGGAGTTTTAACTTTATCTGTAGGTAGTGCTGGTTCAGGTACGGGTATTTCATCTTTTTCTCTCTCTACAGGAGTCTTAGGTTTCGTAATTTGTTCCAGCTCAACAGGAGTTTTAATTTTTTCTGAAGTTAGTGCTGGTTCAGCTGCAGGTATATCAACTTTTTCTACCTCTTCAGGAGCCTTAGCTTTCGCAATTGGTTCCAACTCAACAGGTGTTTTAACTTTTTCTGTAGGTAGTGCTGGTTCGGCTACAAGTATTTCAACTTTTTCTTTTTCTTTAGGAGTCTTAGCTTTCGCAATTGGTTCCAGCTCAACAGGTGCTTTAACTTTTTCAGAAGGTGGTGCTGGTTCAGCTACAGGTATTTCAACTTTTTCTTCCTCTTCAGGAGTCTTAGCTTTCGCAATTGGTTCCAGCTCAACAGGTGTTTTAACTATTTCTGAAGATGGTGCTGGTTCGGCTACAGGTATTTCAGCTTTTTCTTTCTCTTCAGGAGTCTTAGCTTTCGTAGTTGGTTCCCGTTCAACAGGAGTTTTAACTTTTTCGGTAGGTGCTGTTGGTTCAGTCACAGGTTTTTCAACTTTTTCTTTCTCTTCAGGAGTCTTAGCTTTCGCAATTGGTTCCAGCTCAACAGGTGTTTTAACTTTTTCTGTAGGTAGTGCTGGTTCGGCTACAGGTATTTCAACTTTTTCTTTTTCTTCAGGAGTCTTAGCTTTCGCAATTGGTTCCAGCTCAACGGGTGTTTTAACTTTTTCTGAAGGTAGTGCTGGTTCAGCTACAGGTATTTCAACTTTTTCTTTCTCTTCAGGAGTCTTAGCTTTCGCAATTGGTTCCAGCTCAACAGGAGTTTTAACTTTTTCTGTAGGTAGTGCTGGTTCAGCTACAGGTATTTCAACTTTTTCTTTCTCTTCAGGAGTCTTAGCTTTCGCAATTGGTTCCAGCTCAACAGGAGTTTTAACTTTTTCTGTAGGTAGTGCTGGTTCAGCTACAGGTATTTCAACTTTTTCTTTCTCTTCAGGAGTCTTAGCTTTCGTAATAGGTTCCAGCTCAACAGGAGTTTTAACTTTTTCTGTAGGTAGTGCTGGTTCAGCTACAGGTATTTCAACTTTTTCTTTCTCTTCAGGAGTCTTAGCTTTCGTAATAGGTTCCAGCTCAACAGGAGTTTTAACTTTTTCTGTAGGTAGTGCTGGTTCAGCTACAGGTATTTCAACTTTTTCTTTCTCTTCTGGAGTCTTAGCTTTCGTAATAGGTTCCAGCTCAACAGGAGTTTTAACTTTTTCTGTAGGTAGTGCTGGTTCAGCTATAGGTATTTCAACTTTTTCTTTCTCTTCTGGAGTCTTAGCTTCCGTAATAGGTTCCAGCTCACCAGGAGTTTTAACTTTATCTGTAGGTAGTGCTGATTCAGCTACGGGTATTTCATCTTTTTCTTTTTCATCAGGAGGCTTAGGTTTCGTAATTTGTTCCAGCTCAACAGGAGTTTTAATTTTTTCTGAAGGCAGTGCTGGTTCAGCTATAGGTATATCAACTTTTTCTTTCTCTTCAGGAGTCTTAGCTTTCGCAATTGGTTCCAGCGCAACAGGAGTTTTAACTTCTTCTGTAGGTAGTGCTGGTTCAGCTACAGGTATTTCAACTTTTTCTTTCTCTTCAGGAGTCTTAGCTTTCGTAATAGGTTCCAGCTCAACAGGAGTTATAACTTTTTCTCTAGATAGTGCTGGTTCTGACACAGGTATTTCAACTTTTTCTTTTTCTTCAGGAGTTTTAGCTTTCGAAATAGGTTCCAGCGCAACAGGAGTTTTAACTTCTTCTGTAGGTAGTGCTGGTTCAGCTACGGGTATTTCAACTTTTTCTTTCTCTTCAGGAGTCTTAGCTTTCGTAATAGGTTCCAGCTCAACAGGTGTTTTAACTTTTTCTGTAGGTAGTGCTGGTTCGGCTACAGGTATTTCAACTTTTTCTTTTTCTTCAGGAGTCTTAGCTTTCGCAATTGGTTCCAGCTCAACAGGTGTTTTAACTTTTTCTGAAGGTAGTGCTGGTTCGGCTACAGGTATTTCACCTTTTTCTTTTTCTTCAGGAGTCTTAGCTTTCGCAATTGGTTCAAGCTCAACGGGTGTTTTAACTTTTTCAGAAGGTGGTGCTGGTTCAGCTACAGGTATTTCAACTTTTTCTTTCTCTTCAGGAGTCTTAGCTTTCGCAATTGGTTCCAGCTCAACAGGTGTTTTAACTTTTTCTGTAGGTAGTGCTGGTTCGGCTACAGGTATTTCAACTTTTTCTTTTTCTTCAGGAGTCTTAGCTTTCGCAATTGGTTCCAGCTCAACAGGTGTTTTAACTTTTTCTGAAGGTAGTGCTGGTTCGGCTACAGGTATTTCACCTTTTTCTTTTTCTTCAGGAGTCTTAGCTTTCGCAATTGGTTCAAGCTCAACGGGTGTTTTAACTTTTTCAGAAGGTGGTGCTGGTTCAGCTACAGGTATTTCAACTTTTTCTTTCTCTTCAGGAGTCTTAGCTTTCGCAATTGGTTCCAGCTCAACAGGTGTTTTAACTTTTTCTGTAGGTAGTGCTGGTTCGGCTACAGGTATTTCAACTTTTTCTTTTTCTTCAGGAGTCTTAGCTTTCGCAATTGGTTCCAGCTCAACAGGTGTTTTAACTTTTTCTGTAGGTAGTGCTGGTTCGGCTACAGGTATTTCAACTTTTTCTTTTTCTTCAGGAGTCTTAGCTTTCGCAATTGGTTCCAGCTCAACAGGTGTTTTAACTTTTTCTGAAGGTAGTGCTGGTTCGGCTACAGGTATTTCACCTTTTTCTTTTTCTTCAGGAGTCTTAGCTTTCGCAATTGGTTCAAGCTCAACGTGTGTTTTAACTTTTTCAGAAGGTGGTGCTGCTTCAGCTACAGGTATTTCACCTTTTTCTTTTTCTTCAGGAGTCTTAGCTTTCGCAATTGGTTCAAGCTCAACGGGTGTTTTAACTTTTTCAGAAGGTGGTGCTGGTTCAGCTACAGGTATTTCAACTTTTTCTTTCGCTTCAGGAGTCTTAGCTTTCGTAATAGGTTTCAGCTCAACAGGAGTTTTAACTTTATCTGATGGTAGTGCTGCTTCAGCTACAGGTATATCAACTTTTTCTTCCTCTTCAGGAGTCTTAGCTTTCGCAATTGGTTCCAGCTCAACAAGTGCTTTAACTTTTTCTGTAGGTAGTGCTGGTTCGGCTACAGATATTTCAACTTTTTCTTTCTCTTCAGGAGTCTTAGCTTTCGTAATAGGTTCCAGCTCAACAGGAGTTTTAAATTTATCCGTAGGTAGTGCTGGTTCAGGTACGGGTATTTCATCTTTTTCTTTCTCTACAGGAGTCTTAGGTTTCGTAATTTGTTCCAGCTCAACAGGAGTTTTAATTTTTTCTGAAGGTATTGCTGGTTCCGCTACAGGTATATCAACTTTTTCTTCCTCTTCAGGAGTCTTAGCTTTCGCAATTGATTCCAGCTCAATAGGTGTTTTAACTTTTTCTGAAGGTAGTGCTGGTTCGGCTACAGGTATTTCACCTTTTTCTTTTTCTTCAGGAGTCTTAGCTTTCGCAATTGGTTATAGTGCTGATTCAGCTACGGGTATTTCATCTTTTTCTTTTTCATCAGGAGTCTTAGGTTTCGTAATTTGTTCCAGCTCAACAGGAGTTTTAATTTTTTCTGAAGGTAGTGCTGGTTCAGCTATAGGTATATCAACTTTTTCTTTCTCTTCAGGAGTCTTAGCTTTCGCTATTGGTTCCAGCTCAACAGGTGTTTTAACTTTTTCTGTAGGTAGTGTTGGTTCAGCTACAGGTATTTCAACTTTTTCTTTCTCTTCAGGAGTCTTAGCTTTCGAAATAGGTTCCTGCTCAACAGGAGTTTTAACTCTATCTGTAGGTAGTGCTGGTTCAGCTACGGGTATTTCATCTTTTTCTTTTTCTTCAGGAGTCTTAGCTTTCGTAATAGGTTCCAGCTCAACAGGTGTTTTAACTTTTTCTCTAGGTAGTGCTGGTTCTGCCACAGGTATTTCAACTTTTTCTTTTTCTTCGGGAGTTTTAGCTTTCGAAATAGGTTCCTGCTCAACAGGAGTTTTAACTCTATCTGTAGGTACTACTGGTTCAGCTACAGATATTTCAATTTTTTCTTTCCCTTCAGGAGTCTTAGCTTTCGCAATTGGTTTTAGCTCAACAGGTGTTTTAACTTTTTCTATAGGTAGTGTTGATTCAGCAACGGGTATTTCAACTTTTTCTGTCTCTTCAGGAGTCTTAGGTGTCGTAATTTGTACCAGCTGAACATAAGTTTTAACTTCTTCTGTAAGTAGTGCTGGTTCAGCTACAGGTATTTCAACTTTTTCTTTCTCTTCTGGAGTCTTAGCTTCCGTAATAGGTTCCAGCTCAACAGAAGTTTTAACTTTATCTGTAGGTAGTGCTGGTTCAGTTACGGGTATTCCATCTTTTTCTTTCTCATCAGGAGTCTTAGGTTTCGTAATTTGTTCCAGGTCAACAGGAGTTTTAATTTTTTCAGAAGGTAGTGCTGGTTCAGCTATAGGTATATCAACTTTTTCTTTCTCTTCAGGAGTCTTAGCTTTCGCAATTGGTTCCAGCTCAACAGGTGTTTTAACTTTTTCAGTAGGTAGTGTTGGTTCAGCTAGAGGTATTTCAACTTTTTCTTTCTCTTCGGGAGTCTTAGCTTTCGTAATAGGTTCCAGCTCAACAGGAGTTTTAACTTTTTCTGTAGGTAGTGCTGGTTCAGCTACGGGTATTTCAACTTTTTCTTTCTCTTCAGGAGTCTTAGCTTTCGTAATAGGTTCCAGCTCAACAGGTGTTTTAACTTTTTCTCTAGGTAGTGCTGGTTCTGCCACAGGTATTTCAACTTTTTCTTTTTCTTCAGGAGTTTTAGCTTTCGAAATAGGTTCCAGCTCAACAGGAGTTTTAACTTTTTCTGTAGGTAGTGCTGGTTCAGCTACAGGTATTTCAACTTTTTCTTTCTCTTCAGGAGTCTTAGCTTTCGCAATTGGTTCCAGCTCAACAGGAGTTTTAACTTTTTCTGAAGGTGGTGCTGGTTCAGCTACAGGTATTTCACCTTTTTCTTTTTCTTCAGGAGTCTTAGCTTCCACAATTGGTTCCAGCTCAACGGGTGTTTTAACTTTTTCTGATGGTAGTGCTGGTTTAGCTACAGGTATTTCAACTTTTTCTTTCTCTTCAGGAGTCTTAGCTTTCGCAATTGGTTCCAGCTCAACAGGTGTTTCAATTTTTTTAGAAGGTGGTGCTGGTTGAGCTACATGTTTTTCAACTTTTTCTTTCTCTACAGGAGCCTTAACTTTCGTAATAGGTTCCAGCTCAACGGGTGTTTTAACTCTTTCTGTAGGTAGTGCTGGTTCAGCTACGGGTATTTCAGCTTTTTCTTTCTCTTCAGGAGTCTTAACTTTCGTAATAGGTTCCTGCTCAACGGGTGTTTTAACTTTTTCTGGAGGTAGTGCTGGTTTAGCTACAGGTATTTCAACTATTTCTTTCGCTTCAGGAGTCTGAGCTTTTGTAGTTGGTTCCAGCTCAACAGGAGTTTTAACTTTTTCTGTAGGTAGTGCTGGTTCAGCTACAGGTAATTCAACTTTTTCTTTCTCTTCAAGAGTTTTAGCTTTCGCAATTGGTTTTAGCTCAACAGGAGTTTTAGCTATTTCTGTAGGTGGCGCTGGTTCAGCAACAGGTATTTCAACTTTTTCTTTCTCTTCGGGAGTCTTAACTTTCGTAATGGGTCCCAGCACAATGGGTATTTTAACTTTTTCTGTAGGTAGTGTTGATTCAGCTACAGGTATTTCAACTTTTTCTATTTCTTCAGGAGTTTTATCTTTCGAAATAGGTTCCAGCTCAAAAGGAGTTTTAACTTTATCTGTAGGTAGTGCTGGTTCAGGTACGGGTATTTCATCTTTTTCTTTCTCTACAGGAGTCTTAGGTTTCTTAATTTGTTCCAGCTCAACAGGAGTTTTAATTTTTTCTGAAGATAGTGCTGGTTCAGCTACAGGTATATCAACTTTTTCTTCCTCTTCAGGAGTCTTAGCTTTCGCAACTGATTCCAGCTCAACAGGTGTTTTAACTTTTTCTGAAGGTAGTGCTGGTTCGGCTACAGGTATTTCACCATTTTCTTTTTCTTCAGGAGTCTTAGCTTTCGCGATTGGTTCAAGCTCAACGCGTGTTTTAACTTTTTCTGTAGTTAGTGCTGGTTCGGCTACAGGTAATTCAACTTTTTCTATTTCTTCAGGAGTCTTAGCTTTCGCAACTGGTTCCAGCTCAACAGGTGTTTTAACTTTTTCTGAAGGTAGTGCTGGTTCGGCTACAGGTATTTCACCTTTTTCTTTTTCTTCAGGAGTCTTAGCTTTCGCAATTGGTTCAAGCTCAACGAGTGTTTTAACTTTTTCAGAAGGTGGTGCTGGTTCAGCTACAGGTATTTCAACTTTTTCTTTCTCTTCAGGAGTCTTAACTTTCGTAATAGGTTCCAGCTCAACGGGTGTTTTAACTTTATCTGTAGTTAGTGCTGGTTCAGCTACGGGTATTTCATCTTTTTCTTTCTCTTCGGGAGTCTTAGGTTTCGTAATTTGTTCCATCGCAACAGGAGTTTTAATTTTTTCAGAAGGTAGTGCTGGTTCAGCTACAGGTATATCAACTTTTTCTTTCTCTTCTGGAGTCTTAGCTTTCGCAATTGGTTGCAGCTCAACAGGTGTTTTAACTTTTTCTCTAGGTAGGGTTGGTTCAGCTACAGGTGTTTCAACTTTTTCTTTCTCTTCTGGAGTCTTAGCTTTCGTAATAGGTTCCAGCTCAACAGGAGCTTTAACTTTTTCTGGAGGTAGTGCTGGTTCAGCTACAGGTATTTCAACTTTTTCTTTCTCTTCAGGAGTTTTAGCTTTCGCAATTGGTTCCAGCTCAACAGGTGTTTCACTTTTTTCAGAAGGTGGTGCTGGTTCAGCTACATGTATTTCAACTTTTTCTTTCGCTTCAGGAGTCTTAACTTTCATAATAGGTTCCAGCTCAACGGGTGTTTCAACTTTTTCTGTAGGTAGTGCTGGTTCAGCTACGGGTATTTCAACTTTTTCTTTCTCTTCAGGAGTCTTAACTTTCGGAATAGGTTCCAGCTCAACGGGTGTTTTAACTTTTTCAGGTGGTAGTGCTGGTTTAGCTACAGGTATTTCAACTTTTTCTTTCTCTTCAGGAGTCTTAGCTTTCGCAATTGGTTCCAGCTCAACAGGTGTTTTAACTTTTTCTGTAGGTAGTGCTGGTTCGGCTACAGGTATTTCACCTTTTTCTTTTTCTTCAGGAGTCTTAGCTTTCGCAATTGGTTCCAGCTCAACAGGTGTTTTAACTTTTTCTGTAGGTAGTGCTGGTTCGGCTACAGGTATTTCACCTTTTTCTTTTTCTTCAGGAGTCTTAGCTTTCGCAATTGGTTCCAGCTCAACAGGTGTTTTAACTTTTTCTGTAGGTAGTGCTGGTTCGGCTACAGGTATTTCACCTTTTTCTTTTTCTTCAGGAGTCTTAGCTTTCGCAATTGGTTCCAGCTCAACAGGTGTTTTAACTTTTTCTGTAGGTAGTGCTGGTTCGGCTACAGGTATTTCACCTTTTTCTTTTTCTTCAGGAGTCTTAGCTTTCGCAATTGGTTCCAGCTCAACAGGTGTTTTAACTTTTTCTGTAGGTAGTGCTGGTTCGGCTACAGGTATTTCACCTTTTTCTTTTTCTTCAGGAGTCTTAGCTTTCGCAATTGGTTCCAGCTCAACGGGTGTTTTAACTTTTTCTGAAGGTAGTGCTGGTTCGGCTACAGGTATTTCACCTTTTTCTTTTTCTTCAGGAGTCTTAGCTTTCGCAATTGGTTCCAGCTCAACGGGTGTTTTAACTTTTTCTGAAGGTAGTGCTGGTTCGGCTACAGGTATTTCACCTTTTTCTTTTTCTTCAGGAGTCTTAGCTTTCGCAATTGGTTCCAGCTCAACGGGTGTTTTAACTTTTTCTGAAGGTAGTGCTGGTTCGGCTACAGGTATTTCACCTTTTTCTTTTTCTTCAGGAGTCTTAGCTTTCGCAATTGGTTCCAGCTCAACGGGTGTTTTAACTTTTTCTGAAGGTAGTGCTGGTTCGGCTACAGGTATTTCACCTTTTTCTTTTTCTTCAGGAGTCTTAGCTTTCGCAATTGGTTCCAGCTCAACGGGTGTTTTAACTTTTTCTGAAGGTAGTGCTGGTTCGGCTACAGGTATTTCACCTTTTTCTTTTTCTTCAGGAGTCTTAGCTTTCGCAATTGGTTCCAGCTCAACGGGTGTTTTAACTTTTTCTGAAGGTAGTGCTGGTTCGGCTACAGGTATTTCACCTTTTTCTTTTTCTTCAGGAGTCTTAGCTTTCGCAATTGGTTCAAGCTCAACGGGTGTTTTAACTTTTTCAGAAGGTGGTGCTGGTTCAGCTACAGGTATTTCAACTTTTTCTTTCTCTTCAGGAGTCTTAGCTTTCGCAATTGGTTCCAGCTCAACAGGTGTTTTAACTTTTTCTGTAGGTAGTGCTGGTTCGGCTACAGGTATTTCACCTTTTTCTTTTTCTTCAGGAGTCTTAGCTTTCGCAATTGGTTCCAGCTCAACGGGTGTTTTAACTTTTTCTGAAGGTAGTGCTGGTTCGGCTACAGGTATTTCACCTTTTTCTTTTTCTTCAGGAGTCTTAGCTTTCGCAATTGGTTCAAGCTCAACGGGTGTTTTAACTTTTTCAGAAGGTGGTGCTGGTTCAGCTACAGGTATTTCAACTTTTTCTTTCTCTTCAGGAGTCTTAGCTTTCGCAATTGGTTCCAGCTCAACAGGTGTTTTAACTTTTTCTGTAGGTAGTGCTGGTTCAGCTACAGGTACTTCATCTTTTTCTTTCTCTTCAGGAGTCTTAGGTTTCGTAATTTGTTCCAGCTCAACAGGAGTTTTAATTTTTTCTGAAGGTAGTGCTGGTTCTGCTATAGGTATATCAACTTTTTCTTCCTCTTCAGGAGTTTTAGCTTTCGCTATTGGTTCCAGCTCAACATGTGTTTTAACTTTTTCTGTAGGTAGTGTTGGTTCGGCTACAGGTATTTCAACTTTTTCTTTTTCTTCAGGAGTCTTAGCTTTCGCAATTGGTTCCAGCTCAGCAGGTGTTTTAACTTTTTCTGTAGGTAGTGCTTGTTCGGCTACAGGTATTTCACCTTTTTCTTTTTCTTCAGGAGTCTTAGCTTTCACAATTGGTTCCAGCTCAACAGGAGCTTTAACTTTTTCTGTAGGTAGCGTTGGTTCAGCTACAGGTATTTCAACTTTTTCTTTCTCTTCAGGAGTCTTAGCTTTCGCAATTGTTTCCAGCTCAACAGGAGTTTTAACTTTTTCTGTAGGTAGCGTAGGTTCAGCTACAGGTATTTCAGCTTTTTCTTTACCTTCAGGAGTCTTAGCTTTCGCAATTGGTTCCAGCTCAACAGGAGTTTTAACTTTTTCTGTAGGTAGTGCTGGTTCAGCTACAGGTTTTTCAACTTTTTCTTTCTCTTTAGGAGTTTTAGCTTTCGCAATTGGTTCTAGCTCAACAGGAGCTTTAACTTTTTCTGTAGGTAGCGCTTCTTCAGCAACAGGTAATTCAACTTTTTCTTTCTCTTCAGGAGTCTGAGCTTTCGTAGTTGGTTCAAGCTCAACAGGAGTTTTAACTTTTTCTGTAAGTAGCGCTGGTTCAGCAACAGGTATTTCAACTTTTTCTTTCTCTTCAGGACTCTTAGCTTTCGTAGTTGGTTCCCGTTCAACAGGAGTTTTAACTTTTTCTGTAGGTAGTGTTGGTTCAGTCACAGGTATTTCAACTTTTTCTTTCTCTTCAGGAATCTTAGTTTTCAGAATTGGTTCCAGCTCAACAGGAGTTTTAACTTTTTCTATAGGTAGCGCTGGTTCAGCAACAGGTATTTCAACTGTTTCTTTCTCTTCAGGAGTCTGAGCTTTCTTAGTTGGTTCCAGCTCAACAGGAGTTTTAACTTTTTCTGTAGGTAGTGCTGGTTCAGCTACAGGTATTTCAACTTTTTCTTTCACTTCAGGAGTCTTAGCTTTCGCAATTGGTTCCAGCTCTACAGGAGTTTTAACTTTTTCTGTAGGTAGCGCTGGTTCAGCTACAGGTATTTCAACTTTTTCTTTCTCTTCAGGAGTCTTAGCTTTTGCAACTGGTTCCAGCTCAACAGGAGTTTTAACTTTTTCTGTAGGTAGTGCTGGTTCAGCAACAGGTAATTCAACTTTTTCTTTCTCTTCAGGAGTCTGAGCTTTCGTAGTTGGTTCAAGCTCAACAGGAGTTTTAACTATTTCTGTAGGTAGCGCTGGTTCAGCTACAGGTATTTCAACTTTTTCTTTCTCTTCAGGAGCCTTAGCTTTCGCAATTGGTTCCAGTTCGACAGGTGTTTTAATTTTTTCTGCAGGTAGTATTGGTTCAGCTACAGGTATTTCAACTTTTTCTTTCTCTTCAGGACTCATAGCTTTCGCAATTGGTTCCAGTTCAACAAGTGTTTTAACTTTTTCTGTAGGTAGTGTTGGTTCAGCTACGGGTATTTTAACTTTTTCTTTCTCTTCAGGAGTCTTAGCTTTCTCAATTGGTTCTAGCTCAACAGGTGTTTTAACTTTTTTTGTAGGTAGCGCTGGTTCAGCTACAGGTATTTCAACTTTTTCTTTCTCTTCGGGAGTATTAGCTTTCGCAATTGATTCCAGCTCAACAGGAGATTTAACTTTTTGTGTAGATAATGCCGATTTGCCGATTTCTGTCTTAACTTCTTGAGTCGCTTCGGCTTTCTCTGCTAATACTGCTGGTTCTTTTACGATTTTTAACTTTTTAGAGGATCTAACTTTTTCAGTTAGAAATTCTGCGCTTTCTTTAATTTTCGTTAGAATTTCTTTTTGTATAATTTCCTTTTCTTCGACTTCTGCTTTTTCGATTTCTGTTGTTTGTATTAGCTTTGTAATGGTTTCAGGTTCAAATTTCTTCTTTAAAGGTTCCTCTTTTTCAGAAATCTTCTCTTTTAACTCTTTTTCTATAATTTCTTTAATCTCAACGTCTTGTTTCTCGAATTCTGTTGTTTCTGTTAGTTTTAAAATGCGTTCGAATTCGTCTTTGTCAATAAATTTCTTTTCTTTTTCTGTAAATTTCTTCGTTTCAATTTCTGCCTTTTCAATCTGTGCTATTTCTGTCCATTTTATAATGGTTTCTAGTTTAACCTCCTTTGTCGGAGGTTTTTCTTTTTCTACAATTGTCTCTGGTATTTCTTTTCCTACAATTTCTAAGCTTTCTATTTCAGTTTCCGCTATTTTTATTGGTTTTATAGCGATTTCAATTTCAACCTGCTTTGTTGGAAGTTTCTCTTCTATGGCGATTTTTTCTGCAGTTTCTCTTTCTACAGTTTTCTTTATCTTAACTTCTTCTTTTTCCACTTTCACTACTTCTGTTGATTTCATAATTGTTTCCGGTTCAGTCTTTTTTGTTGGAGGTTTCTCCGTTTCTACAGTTTTATCTATAATTTCTTTTTCTATTATCTTTTCTTTCTCAATTTCTACTTTTTCTGTTGGCCTTGTAATGGCTTCAGGTTGAACCCCCTTTGCCGGAAATTCTTCTTCGACAATTTTCTCTGTAATTCGTTTTTCTATAACTTCTCTAACAGTAACTTCTGCTTTCTCAATCTCTTCCATGTCTATTTGTTTCGTAATTGTGTCAAGTTCAATTCTCTGTGTTGGAGATTCCTCTTTTTCCGCAATTTTCTCTGTAATTTCTTTCTCTAGAGATACCTTGACTTCTGCTGGCTGTAAAGTGATTTCAGGGTCAACCTCCACTGTTGGAGATCTCTCGTCCTTGTCAATTTTCTCTAAAGTTTCCTCTTCTATAATTTTCTTTACCTTAACATCCTCTTCTTTGATCTTCGCTATTTCTATTTTCTTTACTTTAACTTTTGTCTCTTCAATCTCCTCTATTTTTTTGGGTTTCATAGCAGCTTCAGGTCCAGTTTCCTTTGTTGGAGATTTCTCCTTTTCAGTAATTTTATCTGTACTCTCTGTTTCTATCATTTCCTTTACCTCTGCTTTCTCAAACTCTGTTTGTTTTATAATGGTTTTAGGTTCAATCTCCTTCAGTGGAGATATCTTTTTTTCGACAAGTTTCTTTGTAATTTCTTTTTCTATATCTTCCTTAATTTTAGTTGGATCCGTTGGTTTTATAACGGTTTTAGCATCAACTTCTTGTGATGGTGATTTCTCTTTTTCTACTATTTCCTTTGTGATATCTTTGTCCATAGTTTTCTTTATCTTAAGTTCCATTTCAGCCTCTTTTGCTTCAAATGTTTCTTTGGCAAATTTTTCTGTAATTTGTTTTTCTATAACTTCCTCTTTTTCGATCTTCGTTATTTCTTTTGATTTTATAACGATCTCAGCTTCAGTCTTCTTTGTTAGATATTTCTCTCTTTCAATAATTTCATCTGTAATTTCTTTTTCTATAATTTCTTTTACCTTAGTGTCTGCCTTTTCAATCTTCTCTGTTGGTTTTATAATGGCTGCAAGCTTAGCCTCCTTTGTTGGAGATTTCTCCTTTTCACCTATTTTATGTGTAACTTCTTTTTGTATAATTTCCGTTACCTCGACCTCTGCTTCCGCAATGTCTACTTTTTTTGTTGGTTTTGCAATAATTTCATGTTCAACTTCCCTTCTTAGAGATCTCTCTTTTTCGATGGTTTGTTCTGTAATTTCTTTTCCTATGATTTCCTTAATTATAAATCTTTCAGTCTCTACTTTTTCTTTTGTTGGTGATATCCCCTTTTCAATGATTTTCTGTGAAATATCCTTTTTGGCAGTTTCCATTACTTCAACTTTTTCAGCAGTTTTATGTTTCCTCAGTATTGGTATTTTCGGTTTTTGTTCCTCTCTTGTTTCCTGGATAAATTCTTTTTCGAACATTTTCCTGATCTGTTGAACATGTGTTCCCTTTTCTTTTTTTAGTTCTTTTTCCCCGATTAGCTCTGATTTATCTCTCATGTCAGCTTTATCAGTGACATATGTTGTTTCCTTTTTCGTTTCTGTCACTTTACCTTCTGTTTCGGCCATTGATGGTTTAATATCGACTTTTTCAATACCGTCTGGAAGTATTGACTCTTTGTAATCTTCCTTTTCCGTTTCCAATGTTCTTACTGTTCCCGTAGATGTTACCGCTGTAGATTTGAAGATGTGTTCTATGTCTCTTGTTTTGGCGATTGGCTTTTCTCTTTCAATGTATTTATTTACCTCCTCAATTGATATTTCATTTTCCATTATGAGTTCTGTTGGTTTTTGCTCCGATTCTATTTTCTTTTCCACTATCTTTTCCGTGTCTTTAGTAATTACGTCTCTTTTTTCTATTATTTTATCTACTACCTTTACTGTCATCTTGTCTGTAATAATTTTGATTGGCACTGCATCAGCTAATTCTACCTTAGGTTTATAGAACCTCCTAATATCGGTTTCTGTTGCGGAATCTTTCTCCTTTTTAATTTTTGTTAGTAGTTCTGCTGGTGTTACGTATTTCTCGATTGCTTCTACAACTTCCGCATCTTCAGATGTTTTAGGCATAACTGCGGCTGATTTTATATTCTCAATGTCTTTCTGAACTTTTGTTATGATGGTTACATCGAAAGCTTCTTGAGTGGATGGTAAAAGAGTTACTAACTGACCTTCTGGAGTAGGTGTGAGATCTGGTTTTAATTCTTTTACATCTTCTCTAATTTTCTTTGATGCTTCTAAAACCTCGGACATAATTTTTCTAACTTCCTGTTCCGTGGTTGGAACTTTGGTTTCCATCTTTGTCAAGTCTAATACTTTTGGTGATGTTCTATCTGCAATTTCATCTGCTACAATCTTTTCTTCTAATTCTTTGTCTGTAGTTGCTTCCAGTGGTAAAGATATTACACTTTGGATTTGATCAGATTCAATTATTTCTGTTGGTAATGCTATTGTAGACACCAGTTTAGCGTGTGACACTATTGCTTCTTTTATTATTTCGCTCTGAATTGGTCTAGTAGCTTCCGGCATTCGATCTGAAGGAATTTCTGGTTCATGGGAGACGAATTTTTCAGCTACTTCTGAACCAGGTTTGGTTATGCTCTCCACAGCGTGAATTTGATCAGTAACTATGTTTTCTAATTCATCGGATGTAACTGGACATATTTGTTCTGCTTCCTTAGGTTCTTCGACCAACTGTTGTGGAGGTTCATACACCATCGGGGAAGGTATTTTTGGTTCCACGTGAACTTTGATGCAAATTGGCTCCTCACATAGTTCGTCCCCTTTTAGGTCGATTGTAGTACGTACTGACTTGCCTTGTTCAACTTCTACAAGCTGTTGTTCGATACCTACCAAACATTTACTCAATTCTTGCTCCGAGTACTCCTTTTCGACGAATGGTCTCTTTTCTTTGTCTTCTTCAACTTTCTTTTGTGTAGCTTTTGCTTGCACTACCGTTTCCTTTACCTGCTTCTCAGCGTGCTCTTTTTTGTCATCTGTAACTTTCCTTGATTCTTCTACGTGCCGCTTATATGATTTCTTTACGGGTGTAGATTCCTGAGATCTTGAAATCAGTTGTTCAAACATAGATTTTTTATCTTTAACCGATTTGAAAACTTCGTCGATTTCATCTTCCGCTTCTGTGCCGATATCGTTTTGATCGACTTCAGCAATTGGTTTCACCTCGCCCACATCTACTTTGTCCTCGAATCTCACTTTAGTAACAATTTTTTGAGGAGGTTTTACTTCATCTTCTTTAACTGTTATTGCTTTCTTTTTAATAACATCTTTTTCTATAATTTTCTCATCGTCTGGAATTGTTTTTGCTATTTCTTTTTCTTTTGTTTTAGCTATTTTTACAGGAGATTTAGTAGAATCCTCGTCAAAGCTACTGTCTAAGTCGCTGGAAAATATTTTTTGCAATTCCGCGATTTTTCTACCAACCTGTTTAGTGTGGGTGGGCGTGACGTGTTTGGGTTTTGGTTCTGTCGGCTCCGTGTATATTTCTTCGACTTGTTCTTTTACAATTTGTTCAGTTATTGATTCCATTCTGTACTCTTCATCGTCAAGTTGAGCTAGGGTTTCCGTGGAGCCTCTGAAGGCTTCCTCTTCTTTCATGCTAGACAGTTCGTCTTCAGAGTCAACAATTTCACGCTTCTTCCGAATGTATTCCTTATGCGGCGATTTACTCGCTTGTTCCTCCAGCATTTTAATTTTCGCTTTTACGTCGCCGGAACCTCTTCTCTTCTCTAGAATCTCCTCATCTTTGAGCTTCTCGGCTGCAGAGATGGGGGGACTTTCCTCGTGTTTTATGGGACTACAAGAAGAATCCTTCATTCCGATGTGATCCGTTATTGTCGCCGCTTCAGAGGTATCCACTTGGGACAGCGGCATGGACGTAGATTCAGGAAACTCCACCGGACTGGTCCCAGCGTCAGTGAACTGCGTCACTTCCTCCTCCAGTTCGTGGGTGGGTAATTCGTCCGCCTGTATCGGGCTCAAACCGGCATCGGTACATTCGTATTCCTCGATTTCCCCATCTGCGGCTGTATCTGAAATGAAGCCGGTGGTCACCTGACCCGGTAACGTACCGTGTGGCTGTTCCACCGGACTCGTGATGGTACCAGTCGTCGTACCTCTGGTTAGAGAGATACCTGTATCGGTAATGTGGTGGGATAGACTTTCGCTTACTGGGGACACCATCTGAGACAAGTCGTGATCCGTAGTGCTGTCGTGGTAGGTATAGACTTGTTTCGTTCCGCTGAAGTTGACGGTTTCCTCTCGCTTCTTCTGCGTCGTCTCCAGACCCACGGGGGGTATTATGAACGCCCCGTGTTTGTCCACGTAGGCCATTTGGATATTCTCGGGCGACTGTTTGTCCTTGCCGGCAGTTGTAGACATTCCGACGTCGAATCTCTCAGAAGTCTCCGTACCAGACGTGTCACGTCTGGTGGTGGTTACGGATATGTGAGACTGGGATTTTATCGAAATCTCTACGTCCTTCGTGCCGTACAAGGTAAGTCGGCTCTCCGCCGTAGCCAGAGCTTCCTTGGTGCGCACTTCTTTGCGTCCGATAATTAACTCTAGAGTAGGCTTGGTCACATCGGCTACGGTGGGAGGGGAGTTGTCGGGAGAGGGGGTAATGTCCTTATTCAAAATCGGAGACGTGCTCCGGTGTACATGGCTAGACTTATCTTTCCTATCGATCACAGTTACGTCGGAATTTATTTGACTCGTAGTATCACTATCTTTACTATAAGCGTTTGTAATACCTCTTTCGGTGTAGGCTTTCAGTCCGGGACGCTCTACCGCCGCCGTTCTGTGGATCATTCCTATAGTGCCTTTCTCTATGTTGGTATGCGACGTTTTCTCTATCGACTCCAAATCCTTGGTCACTTCCGTGTAAGAAATGGATATCTTCTTGTCGGGCGTCGTCTTCAAGTGCACCTGCTCCTCGGACGGGGGTATCTTGTCCTTGCCAGCCCCACCTTGCAGTCTTTCAACAGTCTTTCTTTCTTTCCTTTCCCAGTCCTCTGGCTTCTTCGAATCCTTAGCACCCTTCTCTTCCGGGGACGTGTATCCCAGGATCAGCAGCTTACCAGGTCGGACAGGGTCAGACTCTATTAACTTATAACTATCTAAACCTAATTTTACAATTCCCGATAACTCACTATTAGGTAAATTGGAAGGCAGTATATTGGAGGTAGTGTTTACGGAAGTTTCTATCACATCGAAGTCTAGGTCCTCGCTGGAAGCTAGACGCTTACGTTGACCGGAAAATAATTTAGCTTGATACTGATAATACTGACGTATGTTGTCGTAGTCCGTCACCTCCTGGGATTCTATCTCTTTGGTGGCGATGTGATCGCCGTCGTACTCAGATCTCGAGCCGGAAGAGTAGTCTTCGCTCGGGGTAGGAGTTTCTAGAAGGCATTGGTCTTCGCGGAAGCCATCGGTATCCAAAGAATCGTCGTCATCCTGCGGTGACGCACTTGCTGCTGTCGCAAGGAAACACATAAAGGGTGGAGAAGGGCGTTAAATGTGAGCGTGAACGTGTCTATTGTGAAAAGGTGTTGCATTGTTCGTTGCTGCTGTGGTGCAACGGCCTTTACGGTTCGACTAGTTCAGAAAATAAATCACAGAGGCTCGTGCGGCCCCCAATCATCTCTCGCACATACACATGAAACGTATGAGTGTCAGAATGTGTACAATATGGACAAGAGGAGAGGAGGTGTAGGATTACGACAGCTATTTAAGTATTTATAAAGCCGCTAAGGCATTCCGCATCTCCATAAGCTTCTACAAATTTATAGCATTTTCCGAAAAGCAGAAACGGCTTTTATAGTAACGATGCCCAAACTAGTAGCAAAATTCCTTTTGTCATAGTGGGCGAAATAAACTAAATCATTTTTACGGAGGAACACAAACAGCCTTGTACGGTTTAATTTATTTTTCCCAGAGTAAGCAACTAAAAAACAAAAAAAAAATTCACTGACCTTGAAGTGGCCTTTGCCACGTGATGCCCGAGGCCGCGATTTGCCCAAAAAACTCACCCTACCCACAGTTACCCTTGACAGGCGGGGTAGACCTCGTAACGCCAATACGAACTCGCAAGAATAAGTGTGGGTGAAATGTGACGTCATGCACACAATTATTTACAATTAATAGTCATTGTTCTGTTACAGATTCCCTGAGAATGGAGTTTGCAAAACGGTTCATCACAAGCGGACATTTGAAGCACGGCTTCCGGGTAAGTGAGGATGGGGATATTTAACACCTAGCCCGTTAATTTGGCATGTAGTGGTCTTCCAATAAACGTGTGCCAAATTAACGGTTTAATGGAATATATGTTGTGGTTAGATACAGTGGGCAATGGTGTGAATGAGATGAAAGGTGTTTTACAGTTGCAATTTAAACGTTTAGCCGGAAAGTGGTTAGTCTTTCGGTTTTGCTATAAAAGTAGGTTATGTGAAGCCGCATTTACTGTAGGAAGTATTTTGCTGTCAGCTAAAATCTTTTTTATCTATGTCAGATTTGCAGGAGAAGATGCTTTTTTCCTTATTTTAGATGATTTAGTCAGATTACACAAGTGTCTCCATTAGGGTGGCCCAAAAAAGACGAATATTTTTTTAGTAGAAAATATGTTAGTTTATCATGTTTTATGAGCCCCCTCAAAAAATCAGCTCAAAAAAAATTTTTAGAGATCGCTCAAGATTTTTAAAAATTGTCAAAAATTATTTCTTTTTTAATTTTTTTCTCGTTATTTTATCATTTTCTAGGTTGAAAAAAATCTCGATTCTGAAATTTTCAAATCAATATTTTAATTTCTAAAGGTCGCTCATAATTGTTTTAACTTTCAAAGTAGTGTACCTAAAATGTTTTCGAGCGACCTCTAAAAATAAATATCAACGAACTAATAAATTTTTTTATTGAATTTAATGAACAACAGAATAGATCACGATTTTGGAAATTTTTAAAAATCTTGAGCGACCTCTAAAAAATTTTTTTTTGAGCTGATTTTTTGAGGGGGCTCATAAAACATGATAAACTAACATATTTTCACAAGACAAACGAAAAAAAAATTTAGTTTTTTTTTGTTGGGCCACCCTAGTCTCCATATTCCAGACTGATGTACGACCGTCATTAACAGAAAGCGGATACAACAACAAATAGAAATCTTTTGACAAGATGGTATAGTTAGTCCAATTAACTAAGCCTTTAAATCGAAATTTTGTCAACTTGGCTGAATTTTTGATATGAGTTAGTTTAAGGTATATTATAACAATAAGTGAGAGTAATTTTTTGTTCAACCCCCGGCCAAGGGTGGAAAAAGATAAAACAAAGGGCTTTTTCAAGATAACTCAAAAAGGGTAAGAGCTAAAAAAAAAGTTTTTCATGAAAGTTGTAAAGCAGACAATTCTACATAAAAATGGCTTCTTAACTTTTTCTTGTACTATTAAAATTAACAGAGTTAGGGAGGCTAGAAGTTAAGGGAAGATTTCAGAAATTAAAATTTTGTTAAATCATTAAAATTAACGATTAAAAATTTGATTTTTTGTTATAACTTTCTTATTAAAAATTAAAAAAATATATCTATTTCTCTGAAAAGAAAAGTTACATTTTTTAGAGCAGATTGAAAAAAAAAATTACTAAATTAATTCATTTTTCTGTTTGTTATGATTTTTTTTAAATTTCTGAAATCTTCCCTTAACTTCTAGCCTCCCTAACTCTGTTAATTTTAATAGTACAAGAAAAAGTTAAGAGGCCATTTTTATATAGAATTGTCTGCTTTACAACTTTCATGAAAAACTTTTTTTTCTAGCTCTTACCCTTTTTGAGTTATCTTGAAAAAGCCCTTTGTTTTATCTTTTTCCACCCTTGGCCGGGGGTTGAACAAAAAATTACTCTCAGTTATTGTTATAATATACCTTAAACTAACTCAAATTCAGCCAAGTTGACAAAATTTCGATTTAAAGGCTTAGTTAATTGGACTAAGTATTTGACTTAAAATTCCATATCTGTGACATACTGTTTTATGTCATGAAAAGATTCATTTTTCTCAACAACTTTTATTAAAAAAGTTTTTCAGTATCTCAACTCGCTCAAAGGATATAAAATATTGTACAGAGTGATTCACAAATGGTGACCAAAAATGAAACCTCGTATTCTTTGGTGAATTTTAAGTGGAGTCGTCCCTATAAAGTTTCTATCTAGTTAGTAGTAGTTAGTATCTTCGTTAAAAAGATACAGGGTGTTAAACTTCAGCAAACATTTTTAATTTTTTTAAATAAATTCAAAACTAGTAAGTGAAATAATTTGAAATTGGGCACATGTATTTATGTAAACATTGTCCAAAATCCGAGGGCTGTTCCTAAAATTTACATGTTCCAGAGGCGGAGGTACAGGGTATCGGTAGCACATTTTTCTAAATACGCCACTGCTTTACGGTAACAAGCATGGTATTTGGATTCGTCTCAGTTCGTTCTTTAAGTTTTACTCGAAAAACATTAGAGAGTAGTAATTTGTAAAAAATTGAAAGACAAATCCGAAAATGTCATGGTTTTTACCGTAAAGCAGTGGCGTACTATTTTATTTAGAAAAATATGTCGCAATACCCTATCTCTCCGCCACTGAAGCATGCAAATTTTAGGAAAAACCCTCAGATTTTAGACAATGTTTACATAAATACATCTGCCCAATTTCAAATTATTTCACTTACTAGTTTTTAAATTATTAAAGAAAATTAAAAATATTTTTTGAAGTTTAACACACTGTATCTTTTTAACAAGCGTCCTAGATAAAAATTTTGTAGGAAGACTGCCTTTAAAATTCACCAAAGTATACGTGGTTTTATTTTTGGTCATCATTTGTGAATCACACTGTATACAGAGAAAAATGTGGTTCGATCAAGTCTGTTACTGATTTTATCAACGTTGCCATTGATACTTTCAATGTATGACGTAAATCATTTGTTTATATAAATCCGTACTGCTGATTCATATTTACTTTTCTACTGGGTATTAATTATTTAAAATAAATATAGTAATTTTGCACAAAAATAACTAAAACGTGTCGGTAATGAATATTGAGAATATTTTGTTTTCTAGTTTAACGCTGACAAAATCAGTAGAAACTAGATCTGCTAGTGTTTGATTTCTCCATACTTATCGCCTTATATCTTTTGAAAGGCAAGAAATATTGGAAAATATTTTTAATACACCACTGGAAATTAACGAAACAAATATTTCATAAATTTATTAATGATTTTTGAAAAGTTGTATCTCAGTGAAAAATGGTAGTGTCGAGAAAAAAATCCATTTTGGAGCATTAAGTCTCTCATTTCAACATCTTTTGACAAAAAAAAAATTTTGAGCCACGATTATCAAGGAATCAAATGAAATTTTCAATTTTTTTTGTGGAGGTATTAGCTTGTTTAATCAGCTTCAATTTGCTTCTTGAAAGGTCTCCGTACGACTATTGATTACCGAGATATCGGCAGTTGAATGAATATGACACTTTTGTCTCTGCAAGAAATTATTGCACAGTAAATCCTAGGGCTGTTTTCAAAACATGAATACATTCTCTACAAGAGAAACCTACCATAAGACAGATATGACATTATTTTCTCGTGTCCAGCAACTTTTCCAAAAGAAAAAAAAAATTTTTTTTTGCTTCATTTTAAACGATGTCTAATGTAAAATTGTGGTAAAAGTAAAAAAAAATTCTTCTCAGCATTAGTCTTTTCATCAATATTCATCAAAAAACGTAAAAAGTATTTATATTTTTTTACATTTTTTTTTCAAATTAATGTCAAGGATGAAAGAAAACTGTTTTCTTCGAAAACCATGACAGATTCTTGTAGAGAATATATGCAAGTTTTCAAAACCGCGCTTGGATTTACTGTGCAATAAATAGTTGTGAGATATCGATGATTAAAGATAAAGTGTCATTTTTCATTCGGTAACCAATAGTCGTGCAAAAACCTTTGAAAAAACAAATTGAAGTTGATTAAACAAGCTCACTGACCTCTACATTGATCCAGTTTGAAAAAATTCGCCAGTCCAAAGAAAATGTTTACTCCATGTATTTCTTTTGATTTCTCAATAATTATAGCTCAAAAATATTTTTTGTAAAAAGATTTTGAAACTAGAGCCTCAACATTGTTTTTTGTTTCGACATGGCCATTTTTCACAGAGATACATCATTTGAAAAATCAATAAAAAAATTATGAAATATTTTTGTTCCCTTAATTTTTACCTGTAGTGTAGAAGTTATTGAGAAAAAAAGCCTTTCACCGTCTTAGCGCGATAAACTTGCCAAAATGCAATTTTAAGTGAACTGTTTATTAACATAAAACTGTAAAAAAACATCTCTCGTGGTTTCCTATTTGCTCTTTCCGTTTTCCTGTAATGGCGGTCGATCATCAGTTCTGTGCCATATTTTTGATATAGTAACCAAAGTAATTGCATTTACAGAAGTGGGAAAAATAACCCCATCA